CTTGGTTTAGACTTGGTTTTAGACCTGGTTTTAGACTTGGTTTAGACTTGGTTTAGACTTGGTTTAGTCCAGATTTAGTCCAGATTTAATCCAGGTTTTAGTCCAGGTTTAGTCCAGATTTAGTCCTGATTTAGTCCTGATTTAGTCCTGATTTAATCCAGGTTTAGACCTGGTTTAGTCCTGGTTTAGACCTGGTTTAGACTTGGTTTAGACTTGGTTTAGACCTGGTTTTAGACCTGGTTTAGACCTAGTTTAGTCCTAGTTTAGTCCTGGTTTAGACCTGGTTTAGACCTGGTTTAGACCTGGTTTAGACTTGGTTTAGACTTGGTTTAGTCCAGATTTAGTCCAGATTTAGTCCAGGTTTAGTCCAGTTTAGTCCAGTTTAGTCCAGATTTAGTCCTGGTTTAATCCAGGTTTAGTCCTGATTTAATCCAGGTTTAGTCCAGATTTAGTCCAGATTTAGTCCTGGTTTAATCCAGGTTTAGTCCAGATTTAGATTTAGTCCAGATTTAGATTTAGTCCAGATGTAGTCCAGGTTTAGTCCTGGTTTAGTCCTGGTTTAGTCCATGTTTAGTCCAGGTTCAGTCCAGGTTTAGTCCTGGTTCAGTCCATTATCCATTTTTTTCCATTTTTCATTTATACACGAAAACTGGAAAAATGAATCATTATCTGTTTTTTTTTTTTCATTTTGGTTTTGGAGACAAATAATGAAGAAAATACTTGTTTGTTTTTTTCATTCTTATTTTTGATTTTATATTGAAAATCAAATGAACGACACATGGATTCATAGACCGAACCAGCTCCCCGAGATCCAGACCAGAAATCTGGAGAAAGAAGACTAACTCCTAACTCCTAACTCCTAACTCCTACCTCCTACCTCCTACCTCCTACCTCCTACCTCCTCCTAACCTGGATTTGAAAAACACTTCCGAGTTTTTCATCCATTGATTGATTGACTCATTGTTCTAGTTTGTGTTTAGTTGTTAGTTTTTGAACAAGGAGACAAATGAAAACTTGTTTATTGGTCCTTTACCTCAACTTTATCACCCTTATGTGTCATGTGTTATATTTATTTATTTATATTTATTGATGGAGGGAAAAAAAAGTGTGTCTCGGCAGATGTGACGTAAAGAAAAGTGAGCGTGGCTTTCACAGACTTTATTCTTCGTGAAAAAGTTTTACAGCGGCGTCTGGATTATTTGACTTTGATGCCGATGATGCGCGCGTCTCCGGTCACGTCGAAGTATTTGTATTTGACGTCTCCCAGTCGGTTCGGGAAGTCCAGCATGGAGCCGTCCGGAAGCTTGATGTAGAATCTCTCCATGTTGAAGCTTATATAGAACTGGAAAAAGAAACAAGACAAAACAAAACACAGACATAAAGTTATTGGAGTCAGGCTAACCACTCTGCCACAGTAACACAGATCAGAGGCCTGGCTGAAGATTGTTAAAAAAAAAAAAATGGACTGAGAGTTTGACGTCACCACAGCGTTCAGCTCCGGTCAAATGAAGCTGAGTTACAGATTTGGAATTATAATTTGGAGTAGGTGTGTAGACCTGGTTTAGACCTGGTTTAGACCTGGTTTAGACCTGGTTTAGACCTGGTTTAGACCTGGTTTAGACCTGGTTCTGTCCTGGTTTAGTTCTTGTTTAGTCCTGGTTTAGTCCCCGGCTCAGTCCCCGGCTCAGTCCCGGTCAAATGAAGCAAAGTTACATATTTGGAATTACTCGCCTGTTCCCACCCAAACACTTTTTAAACAGGAAGTGGGTGTGTAGCAGAGCTCTTTATCTTGATTAATCGTCTTTTAAAAAGGTTTTGAGTTGAGCAAGAGTCTCGTGGGCTGGACTTTTAACTTTCTAACAAACAGAACAGCGGAGGACAGTGGAGTTCTGTCTGTAGTTCTGCCGCCTCACCACAAGGTCGTGTCCTTTCACCTTTGTTGTTCATGCTGTACACACCAGCTGCAGAGTCGTTATGAAAACAGGTTCATTGTTAAACATAAAAGTAACGACTTACTGTACTTTGCGTTGCTTTTTGCTGTAACGCAGTAATGTGGTATTACCAGGAATTTTTTTTTTAATATTTTACTTGTACAAATGTGAGTATTGCACGTCACAAAGCTTTTTTAGTCTGGATTGAAGTGGTGGGTTTTTGTTTTTCTTCTTACAAATTCGCTAAAATCACGGCGATCGTTAAGGTTCCGAGTGTCAGGACGGGCCGGAGGTGCGCCCGCGTAGACCGTCGGGTGACCTTGGATGAAAAGACTGACGAAGAACTCCACGATCCACGAGAGGAAGAGCAACTGACGCCCGATTGAGATTTGAGGAAACGGAAACTAGAGTCCAAGTCCTAGAGTCCTGGTTTGGTCCTGGTTTAGACCTGGTTCAGTCCTGATTTATTCTGGTTTAGACCTGGTTTAGACCTGGTTTAGACCTGGTTTAGACCTGGTTTAGACCTGGTTTAGTCCCGGTTAAGTACTGGTTTCGTCCTGGTTCAGTCCTCAGTTCAGTCCTGGTTAAACTCCGGTTCAGTCCTCTGGTCAGACCTGGTTTAGACCTGGTTTAGTCCCGGTTCAGTCCTGGTTTATTCTTGATTAGACCTGGTTTAATCCTGGTTCAGTCCCAGTTCAGTCCCGGTTCAGTCCCGGTTCAGTCCCGGTTCAGTCCCGGTTCAGTCCCGGTTCAGTCCCGGTTCAGTCCTCTGGTCAGACCTGGTTTAGACCTGGTTCAGTCCTGGTTTATTGTTGATTAGACCTGGTTTAGACCTGGTTTAATCCTGGTTCAGTCCTGGTTCAGCTCTTGTTTAGTCCCAGTTTAGTCCCGGTTAAGTACTGGTTTCGTCCTGGTTCAGTCCCGGTTCGGTCCATATACGACGCAAAAGTTCAGGATTGTTATTTGACAAGTGCCGCAATAGTCGTGTCCCCGTATCATTTGGCCCTGCACTTTCACCCGATGGCAGGTGCTGATGGCAGGTGCTGATGGCAGGTGCTGATGGCAGGTGCTGATGGCAGGTGCTGAAACAGACCGTCATAACCACCACAGACCAAATTCACGCAACGGTACAAATAAAAAAAGACACTCAAAGACACTTTAACTCAGTAGGACGGGGAGAACAAGGCCACGCCGCCGCCGCCGTAACCCTAACCTCCATCTGCGCCGGCGTCTTATCTTAAAGCGGACGTACGGGAACTATGGACCCGCCTTCACTTTTACGACGCAATAAAGAACTTTTATTACACAGAGGCGCAGTAAAACATTAGAGGTCCATTATCAGTGTGGACTTAGAACAATGTAATCACACTTTCATGTCACCAGGTTAAACCCAGAGCGCAGAGTCAGAGTTTAAAATCTATACGAGTCACTTAAACTCACCAGTGTTACGCAAAGAACTCCAGTAAAACGCAAACTTCAAATAAAATAAAATATACGGGACAAAAGACCAGAAGTGTCCCGCCCTCTAGGTTTGCGGAACGTCTGGTTTTCTGTGGCAAATTGTCTGTAAATGTCGAAAACTTAAAAGGAAACGACGACGAGCATTAATGAAATCCATGTATCATTCGCTTTTCAAAATAAAACCAAAAATAAGAAAATGAAAAAGCAACAGTTTTCTTCATTGTTTGTCTCCAAAACCAAAAAACAGATAATGATTAGTTTTTACAGTTTTTGATTTTTTGTTTAAATGAAAAATGGAAAAAATGGATAACGACCGATTCCCGTTTACGTGACTTAAAGTGCGACGGCGGATTGAACCAAACCGGGACTGAACCAGGACTGAACCTGAAACCGGGACTGAACCGAACCGGGACTGAACCGAACCGGGACTGAACCTGAACCGGGACTGAACCAAACCGGGACTGAACCAAACCGGGACTGAACCAAACCGGGACTGAACCGGGACTGAACCAAACCGGGACTGAGCCGGGACTGAGCCGGGACTGAGCCGGGACTGAACTGAACCAGGTCTGAACCAGGTCTGAACCGGGTCTGAGCCAGGACTGAACCAAACCGGGTCTGAACCAGGTCTGAACCAGGTCTGAACTGAGAACTGAACCAGGTCTAAACTAGGCCTAAATTAGGTCTAAACTAGACTTAAACCAGGTCTAAACTGAGGACTGAACCAGGACTAAACTAAGTCTAAATCAGGTCTAAACTGAGGACTGAACTGAGAACTGAACCAGGACTAAACTAGGCCTAAACTAGGACTAAACAAACCAGGACTAAACTAGGTCTAAACTAGGACTAAACCAGGTCTAAACTAGGACTAAACCAGGTCTAAACTAGGACTAAACCAGGTCTAAACTAGGACTAAACCAGGTCTAAACTAGGACTAAACCAGGTCTAAACCAGGTCTAATCTATAACTAGAACTTAGAAGTGCCTTGCAGACAGGGTTTTGGACGGCGCGATCGGGCGTCAGCTGCGTTTCGCCCTGTGGAGCGTGGAGTTCTGCGCTGGTCCTTTTGCCCGCGGTCACCTGACGGTTTACACGGGCGCATCTCATCGCTGCTGATGTCACTGTGATTTTAGCGAATTTGCATGAAGAAAAACTAAAAATGAACCACTTCAATCCAGGTTAAAAAAGCTTTGTGACCCACGTTACTGATATTTGTACAAAGTAAAAGATTAAAATTACTGCGTTACAGCAAAAAACAACACATTATAGTAATTTGTTACTTTTATAACAAGTTACTCCCAACACTGTCGGCCATTAGAGCCACAGAGGTTGGGGCCCTAAGCAGACGCCTGCTTTTGCCTCATGGAAGCGCCGCCTCCGTTTCAGTTTGTCTCTCATCTTTTTGTTGAAAATCAAACTCCTAAACAAGACCACGAACGCTCGGACTGATCACAGGACAATTTAAATGTGCTCTTTAAATCCGTTTTGTGTTTTTTCTGGCGTTTTCAGACCATCCTAAAACATCTCACCATTTTATTTTTTTAGAACTGCTTTTATGTACTGGTCTTATTTTTGTTCATTGATTTTATTATTATTATTTTATTTATTTATTCTATTAGTTTCCTTATGGTTGAAACATTTTTATTTATTTTTTTAAAGTAAAATGTTTTGCATTGCTGTGTGAAGCACTTTGGAAACTGTTTTGTGTATAAAATGTGCTGTACACACTTTGTTTGTGTCGGCCAAAATGCACTTTGCCGGTTGCAACGGGTCCAAAACTCAGCGGCTCGACTTTTAACTGGAACCCGGAAACACGATCAACATCTCACCTATTCTCCCAGTGTCTTTTAGAGTTGATTTTAAAATTCCCCTCCTATCGCACTGACTTTATCCACCCTTACGTCCCCGTCTCGCGCTCTCAGGTCTGCAGATCAACTCCAGCTCACCGTCCCAAAAACTAAACTTAAGCTTCGTGGGGACCGTGTGTTTTCTGTTTCTGCCCCTCGGCTCTGGAACCAGTCGCCATTAGAGCCAAAGAGTTTAATGGGACGAGTCTGTACTCGTTTTTAAATCACTCCTCAAAATGCACCTTTTGTCACTGGCTTTTAATAAGTGACATGTATATTTCTTGTCGAGTATATTACTGTTTTTCTATGTTTTTAGTAGCTGGGCCCCGGTCAAGCAGAAGTAAACAACAAGGCCAAAAATTCAAGTTAATTGATCTGATATAAAAATGTATTGAACAGATACATATGTACTCTAGTTTATGAAACTGTTGACCTTTTTTCTGTACCATTTTTGGTTCTAAAGTTCCATATGTTTTAAACAGACCATGTATGAAACATGGAACAAAAATTATTTCCCAAATTTCAAAGACCCAAAAATCATGTAAATAAATGGATGTATTTCATCATATCTTGTGTTATTCCATCTTTGAACTGTTGATGAAGGGACATGATTTAAAAAAAAAAAAATATATATATATATATATATATATATATATATTTAAAATGATAAAAATTTGCTTGGAAGGACTGACATATTTTATAGAAATAGTTTCCTTTCATTTTGAAGTAATATTAAAGTATTCAGAAGAAAAAAGACAAATGATGTAAAATCCTGCACCTTCTACTTGTTTGTACAATTTTCCCTCCGTTACTTTTCCCTCCGTTACCATGAACCTTTCTTAAAATCTCATGAGTCAAAAAGTAAGAGGTTTTTCAACCTAATCTTGTACCATATGGTAGAAAACTATATGAAGCAAATATTCAAACCAGTTTGTTAAGGATATGTAAGTGAGAACCAAGAGTTATCACTGTTTGGATTTATTGCCCAAAAAGTGCTGCATATTTCATTCCCTCCGTTACCGACATGAGTTTTTTAATTTTTTGTGAACAACTTGAAAGAATCTCACAGGTTTAACTTGACCCTGTTGGAGTGTAACTCTTTCCTACATTCTGATACTTTACTTATTTCAATAGTCCCTCTAGTTTCTGAATAAGAGACATTTGAATGTCAAAAATCTGCCCCCGTTTCCCTCCATTACTGCTTGACTGGACCCTAATGTCACCACATCCGCTGAACGTTCCACCACAGACATACATGCAGAACCTCCCGGCGTGACGTCAGTGCAGTGCTTCGCGCAGTTCTGTGTGATGTTACCTTGCACTCCTCTCCTCTGCAGAAGGGGAAGTTCAGGTCTCGTTGCTCCTCGCCCCAGCAGTCTCCAGACTTCGAGTTAAAGACGATGGTGTTGACGTCTCCGCCGACTTCGAAGCGCGGGTTAAAGTGCAGCGCCACGTTATCCGGGTCGTGACCGATGTTTATGGCAAAACTGGAGACGAGACGAACAAAATATTTCAGTTTAAGGTCCGACATTACACAAACAGACTCTTTAAACCATGTTAGAATGTTGTTACCTCCTCGAAAAACAGACCTGGAGTTGTGTTTCGTTTCATTAGTCGGTCTACATCTCCAAACATCAGGGCGAGTTTAAGTCAACAGCTCATTTTACCTTTAGTTCCTTAGAGATCGGCAATTCCAGGGTTAAAATGATCCAAATGATTCGAGTGAAGGTGTGTGGAGTTTAAAAACACAGTGGAGCACTTCCTGTATCACCTCATGACATCAAAGTGTAAGAGAGTGTTTTCAGTTTGAGAGAAAAACCTAAATATACAGGGTTTGTGTGTTAAACGTGTGTGAATGTTTTGTTTTGTTCATACATTTTAGTAATAATTATTCATCTGTCTACATTTCCAAAGCTCAAAATGCTCTGCAGGGTCATGGAAATCCTGGAAAAGTCATAGAAATTAAAAATGTCATTTTCCAGGCCTGGGATTTTGTAAATTCAATGAACGTCTTGGGAAAGTCATGGAATTTTAGTGTCTCTTTCGCACAACTCCAGTGTTTTGTTAGGTTCTCATGAGGCGACAAACGCACAGACAGGATTTTGAATGTTCAAAAACTGTACAGTGTTTCCTCGTTTATCGCGGGGTTATGTTCTAAAAATAACCCGTGAACAGTGTTGGGAAGTTACTTTTAAAATGTAATCCCCTACAGATTACAGATTACACTCACCAAAATGTAGTTTGTAACAGAATCCATTAAATTACTTAAAGTGAGTAATGTAATCTGAATACTTTGGATTACTTGATTTGCTGTAGAGAAACAAAGACGAGGAAATCTTCACATAAGAAGTTTTGTCTGATAAAAGAAAATAAAAAGCCCAGATTTTACAGAACCAAATAAAAAATATTATTGATAGAAAACGAAGAAACACGTCCACACAGCAGGATTCAGTCCAGTTAAATCCTGTTTAAGACCTGGTTTAGTCCTGGTTTAAGACCTGGTTTAAGACCTGGTTTAAGACCTGGTTTAAGACCTGGTTTAAGACCTGGTTTAAGACCTGATTTAAGACCTGATTTAAGACCTGATTTAAGACCTGATTTAAGACCTGGTTTAAGACCTGGTTTAAGACCTGGTTTAAGATCTGGTTTTAGTCCTGGTTCTAGTCCTGGTTTTAGACCTGGTTAAGGTCTAAACCAGGGATTTAGCCCAAAATGTGAAAACAGGAAAATCCCACCCTGTAATCCATTTATTTCAACAAAGTAACTGTAATCCAATTCCCACTCACTGAAACAGTAACTGTAACTGAATACAGTTACTATAATTTGTACTCTGATTACATTACTCCAGTACATGTAATCTATTACTCCCAACACTGCCCGTGACAGGTGAAATCCATGAAGTATCAACTTTATATTTTACAATTATTCCATCTGTTTTAAGTCTGTAAAACCTCAACACAAACTTTATCCACTTTTCTCACACAGGAAACTTACACTTTTTACTTCCTTCTTAAAACTTATTTCTGCTGTCGTCCTTTTGTTATTTTCCTCCTTCTTTATGTAACGAACTGAAGATTCATTTATTCCGTAATGGAGCCGACAGCACAGAGTCCTGCACAGGTCCATTTTTGGAGACTCGCTCCCGCGCAGTACAGGACCGCACCTGCCAGTACAGGACCGCACCTGCCCCTTAACCCGAGATTATATCAGACTTTTGCTCTGCCTACGCCACGGACTGAACCAAGACTAACCCAGGACTAACCCAGGACTAAATGAGGACTAAACCAAGACTAACCCAGGACTAAATGAGGACTAAACCAAGACTAACCCAGGACTAACCCAGGACTAAATGAGGACTAAACCAAGACTAACCCAGGACTAACCCAGGACTAAAGAGGAGAACTAAACTAGGACTTAGAACTAGGACTAAACTAGGACTAGGACTAGAACTAGGACTAAAATAGGAGTAAACCAGGACTCAACCAGAACTGATTCCAGGACTCTCAAATTCCAGAGAACTGATTCCAGGACTCAGTGTCGGGACGGGCTCGGAGGCGACCGCATCACGAGGTGATCGGCCGATCACGCTGCATTTCAGAATCTGTCGGCTGACGTTCGAACGCTGATGTAAATGTGTCAAACTGAACACATTCTGTACTGTACAGGAGACACGGCACGGAGGAGGTTGATTGACAGGTGGTCCACAGTCCAAAATGAGTTTGACGCTCCTGGTTTAGAGCTTTGGAGAAGCATGTGAATCAAACCACAACTCCAGGTCTGTTTTTAAGGAGGAAACAACATTAGAACACGACTAAAAGCGTGAAAGAATCCGTTTTGTGTCACATAGGACCTTTAAGTACGCAAGTTTTTTTTTAGTTTTTTTATTTAAATCAGTTTAATAATCCAAACGTGGCATCGTCTGGTTCAGTTTCAGATGTGGACTCACGAGCAGCAGTCGTCTTTGGGCTTGATGCGGACCTTAAACTCCTGCCCCTCCTTAAACGTCATGTCCTTCACTTTCTGAAAGAAGAAGACAAAAAAATTATTCCATCATTTAGTTTCATTAAAATTACTTCTGTGGGGTTTCACTGCAACACGTCGCCTTATTTAGATTAAACCATGTTCCTTTTACGGTTTTGAAAATGTTACATTCGCCCAAAATAACGTATCAACATGTTTTATGAGTTTAATTTTTCGGTTTTAGTTTTTTCATGCGCTCCCCCTGCAGGTGTAGTCCTGTCAGTGCAGTTTGTAGTTTCACCATAAAAAATATCAGAAATAATGTTGGTGACGATCTCCAGAAAGACAAATAACTCGAGTGAAACGCGAATTTACGGATTTAAACTGAAACGTAAATGGTTTGTAAATCTGTGTGTCGTTCGTTCATTGGTTTTTCAAAATAAAAGCAAAAATAAGAAAAGGAAAAAAAACTTTGTCTCCAAAACCAAAATGAAAAAACAGATAATGATTCGTTTTTTTTTTTTTTTCAGTTTTCGATTTTGTGTTTAAATGAAAAATGGATAACCAGGACTAAACCAGGACTAAACCAGGACTAACCAGGACTAAACCAGGACTAAACCAGGACTAAACCAGGACTAACCAGGACTAACCAGGACTAAACCAGGACTAACCAGGACTAAACCAGGACTAAACCAGGACTAAACCAGGACTAAACCAGGACCAGGGAACCAGGACTGAACCAGGACTGAACCAGGACTAACCAGGACTAAACCAGGACTGAACCAGGACTACTAATCCGAGGACTAATCCGAGGACTAAACCAGGGGCTCGGGGTTCTCCCTCTCCCTGTCAAGTCCAAGATTAGTCCTGGTTTAGACCTGGTTCAGTCCGGTGTCGCAGTTTTGCCATTATTCATTTAAACACTGAAAAAAAACTGGAAAAAAAAAAAAAAAAAAAACATTTAAAAAAATTTTTAAATTACAAAAATCGACATCCTTTTTCCATTTTGGTTTTGGGACAAATAATGATTTTTGGTTTTATTTTGAAAAATGACAATGACACAGAGATTGTTTGCAAATGTGTTTTTCTTTTCTGTCCAATATTAAAGCCACAAAATGTAACTTACTCCTCAGTACTTTTATATTTGTATTTAATAATAATATTAGTTTTGATACAAGTTTTAGGATCAAATTTTCGATACTTAAATTGAATTAATGACTTCGTGCTGCTTGGGGATCTTCAAACTAAACATTATTAGAATTCCATTTTCTTATCGTTGTGTGTATCGTTGCGTAAATGTAGTCGTTTTTGCCCATTTTTAGTCGACTAAGAATCTCTTTTCTCGACTACAACTCTTATAAAAAGTCTGAACGCTCTTTTTTTTTTGTACGACCGATCAAAGTCCAACACTTCAAATTTCTCTGATCTGGCCAAGATTTTAAAACTTACGTCAGGTTCTTCATCTTGTTTTCAGTCTAGAGGTCGTTTATTTTAAGAGAACTTGTGCGTGGACAGAAAATTTCACAACTTTTAAGTCATTTTCTGATGGATTTAAGTGTTTATATCTTAAATTTGGACCAAGCTGGCTGATGATCATTCTAAAACTGTTCAGGAAAGGTTCACTTCTGTCCTGTAAATTGGACTTTTTTAGTATCGAAACCTGCGAAAAAACGAGGATATAGTTTTGATACAAGTTTTAGGATCTGATTTTCAATACTTAAAATTTGTTAATGACTTAGTACCTTCAGGGATCTTCGAACTAAACATTATTAGAATTCGAATGTGGTAGTTTTTGACCTTTTTTAGTCGACCAAGAATCTTTTTACTCGACTGCAGCTCTCGTAAAAAGTCTGAACGCTCTTTTTTTTTTTTTTGTACGATCGATCAAAGTCCGGCAAAGTACAAGACTGAATATTCTAAAAACATTCAGGAAAGGTTCACTTTTTTCCTGTAAATTGGACTTTTTTAGTATCGAAATCTTCTGAAATGAGGATCTAGTTTCGGTACTGGTTTTAGTTTCGATTAGGATTTGATTTTCGATACTAAATGATTTAATGACTTGGTGGCGCTTGGGGATCTTCGGACTAAACATTAAACTAGAATTCCTCTTTCTTAACGACTTGTTGATCTTTGCTCTAAACATTATTAGAAATCCGCTTTCTTATCGCGGCGAAGTGAATGAATAACGAGCTCGGCTTTGTCCAAGAGCAATAAATCCATAAACAAGAGGAAGAGACGAGCGAGACATTTGGCCCACATCAAGTCATAAAATCACATGTAGGCGTAGGGAGTATTATCTATAGAAAGTAAACAGATAAGAGCTGGAGGGTTTACGCACATCCGTCCAAACGCAGAAGTACGGACACGGAACCAGAAGAAAAAAACTCTAGATACTCGGTTTTCGCAGGTGTTGATACTCAAAAAAAAAAATAAATAAATAAATAAATCACAGAAATAATGAAACTTTTCTGAATGTTTTTAGAACCAACTGGAGTTTAAGACACAGAGACGAGAATACAAACATGGACCTGGTTTAGACCTGGTTTAGACCTGGATTAATCTTGGTTCAGACCTGGTTTAGACCTGGTTTAGACCTGGTTCAGACCTGGTTCAGACCTGGTTCAGACCTGGTTCAGACCTGGTTCAGACCTGGTTTAATCTTGGTTTAGGCCTAGTTTAGGCCTGGTTTAGACCCGGTTCAGATATGATTTAGACCTGGTTCAGACCCGGTTTAATCTTTGTTCAGACCTGGTTCAGACCTGGTTTAGACCTGGTTTAGACCTGGTTTAGACCTGGTTTAGACCCGGTTCAGACCTGGATTAATCTTGGTTCAGACCTGGTTCAGACCTAGTTTGAACCAGGACTGAACCAAGTCTGAACCAGGTCTAGACCTGGATTAATCTTGGTTTAGACCCGGTTCAGACCCAGTTTAGGCCTAGTTTATACTCAGTTCAGACCTGATTTAGACCCGTTTAGACCTGGTTCAGACCTGGTTCAGACCCGGTTCAGACCTGGTTCAGACCTGGTTCAGACCTGGTTCAGACCTGGTTCAGACCTGGTTCAGACCTGGTTCAGACCTGGTTCAGACCCGACCCACTGAGGGTTTAGAAGAAAAGAAAAGAAAGTTCTACCATTTAATGTTGGAAATCACTTTCTTTTGTCTAAAGAAAGAGGAATTAGTATTAAGTTTCGAGTCGACTGATTCGTGAGTATTTAAAAGTTTAAAATGTTCGTATCTTTAACACAGAACATCATTTAAACGCAATTTATAAAGAAGTAAAACATCATTTCACTACTTTAAAATAATTTTCTGACAAATGTAAATGTTTACATCTTAAATTTTGCTCAAGCCGTTTTGCTGTGTAAATGTGAGTGGTTAACTGTGAGTAAAAGTGGTTAACTGTGAGTAAAAGTGGTTAACTGGGAGTAAAAGTGGTTAACAGTGGTTAACTGGGAGTAAAAGTGGTTAACTGGGAGTAAAAGTGGTTAACTGGGAGTAAAAGTGGTTAACTGTGAGTAAAAGTGGTTAACTGGGAGTAAAAGTGGTTAACTGGGAGTAAAAGTGGTTAACTGGGAGTAAAAGTTACGTTCGGTCGTTTATTTATTGCTCTGTTTGTTCTATTAGCTCAACGTGACAGAAGTTTCATCTTTACAGCAGGAAATTCTAGGAACTAGGACCAGACCTGGACCAGACCAGACCTGGACCCGACCTGGACCCGACCTGGACCCGACCTGGACCCGACCTGGACCAGACCTGGACCGACCTGACGACCTGGACCCGACCGACCGGACCGAGGACCGGACCAGACCTGACCCGACCCGGACCCCGGACCAGACCGGACCAGACCGGACCGACCAGACCCGGACCAGACCCGGACCAGACCCGGACCAGACCCGGACCAGACCAGACCAGACTTTTGAAACAGTGATCTATGACTTGGGGAAAAAATGTATAAAATAAAAAAAAATAAAAGGCAATAAAAAAAAAATAAAAAATAATAATAAAATAAAAATAATAATAATAATAATAATAATAATAATAATAATAAATAAAAAGGCTGTATTATTAATAATAATAATAATAATAATAAAATAAAAAGGCTGTATTATTAAAATAATAATAATAAAAAAATAAAAAGTTCCTCACGGTTGTTTTGGAGAGTTTAAGATGTAAACATTTTTAAATAAATCCTTGGTTATTGCTCTTTAAATAATTTCCATGAACATAAAAAACTCTTTTATCTAAAGCCCAGTCTGCACCAACAACCGGGACTGAACCTGGTCTAAACCGGGACTGAACCTGGTCTGGACCTGGTCTGAAACGGGACTGAACCTGGTCTGAAACGGGACTGGACCTGGTCTAAACCGGGACTGAAGCAGGACTGAAGAAGGACTAAACCAGGACTAAAGCAGGACTAAAGCAGGACTAAAGCAGGACTAAAGCAGGACTGAAGCAGGACTAAACCAGGACTAAACCAGGACTAAACCAGGACTGAAGCAGGACTAAAGCAGGACTAAAGCAGGACTGAAGCAGGACTAAAGGACTAAACCAGGACTAAACTGAAGCAGGACTGAAGCAGGACTGAAGCAGGACTAAACCAGGACTAAACAGGACTAAACCAGGACTAAACAGGACTAAACCAGGACTAAACCAGGACTGAAGCAGGACTGAAGCAGGACTGAGCAGGACTAGCAGGACTAAACCAGACCAGGACTAACCAGGACTGAACCAGGACTAAACCAGGACTGAACCAGGACTACCAGACTACCAGACTACAGGACTACACCAGGACTACACCAGGACTACACCAGGACTACACCAGGACTGAATCAGCTCTAAAACAAGTTTGAACCAGGACAGGTCTAAACCAGAACTAAACCAGGACTAAATGTCTTAAATAATCAGATCTGAGTCAAATCGGAAGAAAACCAAGTTCAGCCCAGGCCTAAACGAGAACTAAACCAGGACTAAGACAGACATGAACCAGGACTAAACCTGTGTTCAAACATTAACAGTCATTTCCAGCTGCACAGTGAAACCTGAAAGTTTTACATCTAAAACATAAACACAGAAAGAACTCAGTGATTTTTTTTTATTCTGATTCGTGCTCCGTCAAATGTAAAATCATCAGAATTTCAAAAATCTTTTCTCTTAAATCTTTTCTCACCATGTTGTCTGGAGTCGTCGGGGTTCAGTGCAGAGACTGAGGCCGGACTCAGGTCCCAGGTCTTATAACTGCACCAGGTCACATGACTCTGCACCAGGTCACATGACTCCAAACCAGGAAGTCATAAACCCTGAAGGACAGATCAGAACAGAACTAAACCAGGACTGAACCGGGATTCAACTGGGACTAAACCAGGACTGAACCGGGATTAAATCAGGACTGAGATAAATAGGGAAAAAGTAGAAACAAGAACTAAACCAGGACTAAACCAGAACTGTAGCCTGAACCTGGATTCAAACCAGGATTAAATCACCTAAATATGGACAAAGACAAATCTGGACAAACCAATTGAACCCAGGACTAAATCAGGTCTAAACCAGGACTAAACCAGAACTAAACCAGAACTAAATAAGCAGTAAATCAGGATAAAATCATGACTAAGGAAATCTGGAAAAAAACAAGTTGAACCCAGGTCTAAACCAGGACTAAACAAGATCTAAACAAGATCTAAACCAGGTCTAAACCAGGACTAAACCAGGTCTAAACCAGGACTAAACCAGGTCTGAACCAGGACTAAACCAGGACTAAACCAGGTCTAAACCAGGACTAAACAAGATCTAAACAAGATCTAAACCAGGTCTAAACCAGGTCTAAACCAGGACTAAACCAGGACTAAACCAGGACTAAACCAGGTCTAAACCAGGACTAAACCAGGTCTGAACCAGGACTAAACCAGGACTAAACCAGGTCTGAACCAGGACTAAACAAGATCTAAACCAGGTCTAAACCAGGTCTAAACAAGATCTAAACCAGGTCTAAACCAGGACTAAACCAGGTCTAAACCAGGACTAAACCAGGTCTGAACCAGGACTAAACAAGGTCTGAACCAGGACTAAACAAGATCTAAACCAGGTCTAAACCAGGTCTAAACCAGGACTAAACCAGGTCTAAACCAGGACTAAAAACCAGGTCTGAACCAGGACTAAACAAGGTCTAAACCAGGACTAAACAAGATCTAAACAGATCTAAACCAGGTCTAAACCAGGACTAAACCAGGTCTAAACCAGGACTAAACCAGGTCTGAACCAGGACTAAACAAGGTCTGAACCAGGACTAAACAAGATCTAAACCAGGTCTAAACCAGGACTAAACCAGGTCTGAACCAGGACTAAAACAGGACTAAACCAGGTCTAAACCAGGACTAAAACAGGACTAAACCAGGTCTAAACCAGGACTAAACCAGGTCTAAACCAGGTCTAAACCAGGACTAAACCAGGTCTGAACCAGGACTAAACCAGGACTAAACCAGGTCTAAACCAGGACTAAACCAGGTCTGAACCAGGACTAAACCAGGACTAAACAAGGATCTAAACCAGGTCTAAACCAGGACTAAACCAGGACTGAACCAGGACTGAACCAGGTCTGAACCAGGACTAAAACAGGACTAAACCAGGTCTAAACCAGGACTAAACCAGGTCTGAACCAGGACTAAACCAGGACTAAACCAGGTCTAAACCAGGTCTAAACCAGGGACTAAACCAGGTCTAAACCAGGTCTAAACCAGGTCTAAACCAGGTCTAAACCAGAACTAAACCAGGACTAAACCAGGACTCATCCAGAACAAAAGGACTAAACCAGGACTAAACCAGGACTAAACCAGGTCTAAATCAGGACTAAACCAGGACTAAACCAGGACTAAACCAGGACTAAACCAGGACTAAACCAGGACACACACAAACACAAACACATTTCTTTTAAAATTCTTTTATTGGAATGAGACGTTTATTTTTCTTGGGTCCATTTCGTTCCGACAGTAAAGTGCACACGGCCACATCTGATTGGTCCACGAGCCACAGACATTTTAAAAAGCAAAACATAAAATGAAATAAAATGTAATTACAGTAAAAAGTAAAAAGTACAGTACGACACGTGAAAGAGTCCGGACGTGATTTGAAATAACTTCTCGGGCCAATCATTTTTTTGGGCAGTTCTTGTTGAAATAACCACAAATTTTCACAGAAGATTTTATATTTCATGTTTTATTTTTGTTCTGTTTTCAAGTTGAGCCGTTCATTCAGCCGTTGGAACATATTATGATATTTGTGAATAAACTGTAAATGTGTAAATGTGAACGGCTCAACCTGAAAACAGAACAAAAAATAAAACATTCGACACAAAATCTTGATCTGTTTCTGCACGTTTTGTGAAAATTTGAGGTTATTTCAACAAGAATTTCCAAAATTATCGACCTACAAAATGATGTACACCCTGTATTATACACAAAAAAATAAAAAAATAATCAAAGGTCACTCTCCCGTTTGGTCCTCCCGACTGTAACACGGACTTAAAGCACCTCATCGGTTAGATCCGTTTAAAGCCAGACTGTGGAACATTCTAGGAAAGCAATAACATCTCCACGGAGACGAGACGGTGGCGAATATCCCACGCGCACAAAAAAGAAAAGTATTGCATCTTTAAAACACAATTACAAAACAGTTCTCATTTAAAAACAGATCAGACAGTTTGGTTTCGCAATTATTCAACGACGGTTTAAGATCATTTTCACATCAGTCCACTACATTCGATACTAGTTTTCGATTCTTTTGTCCCTATTTTACGAAAAAAAAAAAAGGGTTCGTCGTCTTTTCGTTCGACGAGTCATGCCCCGGTGTAGAAAATTATTTACAATTATTACAAACGACAAAAAAAAAACGAATTAAAACCTCCCACTGTGGGAAAAAAACATTCACGAGATTCTCAATAACGAACAGCGCCCCCTGGAGTCCGACAAAAACAAAAGCCCCTGTACCTGATTTTTTTTGGTTTTTTTCCCATTTATTCGCGCAAAAAGAGTCTCGTCCAGCAGCTCCCGAGGCCTAAATACGTCCTCTGTGTTCTGCGTTTTATTGTTTGATAATCAGGAAGTGCGCGGTTAGCATGGTAGTCGCCGGGAGCTTCGCAAAACGCCGGAAAGCGCTCATGAACTCATCGCGGTGAATAACGAGGTCTGCGAGGAATAACTTTGGACCAAACCTTTTCAAACGGACTAGTCCAGTAAAAATCGGGTACAGAGACTTGAATTTTTATATTTACATCAAAATCGTGCGTGTTTTGAAACTCGTTTGGTCGGCGGCGCCAAGATTGTTCCCTTTTTTTTCTTTTTTTTATTTAAATCAGTCTTCACATGATTTCAGCTCAAAGTCCAAAACTGAGCAGATTTCAAAGTCCAGTGGTTTCTTACGGTTCACGTGGTCCACAGCAGAAAATATAAAAGTCTGAAGTTCAGTCTGTAAACATCTCGACTGGTTCACAGCACGGTTAGTCCCGGTTTTAGTCCCGGTTTTAGTCCCGGTTTTAGTCCCGGTTTTAGTCCCGGTTTTAGTCCCGGTTTTAGTCCCGGTTTTAGTTCCAGTTTTATTTCTGGTCTCGGGCTTCGTCCTGGTCTGTTCACGGCGGGTCTAACACTTCATTTTGCTTCTGCTCTCTCTGGTGTTAGTCCCGGTCTTAGTCCTGGTCTTATTCTTGGTCCTGGTCTTGATCTTGGTCTCAGTCTCGGTCCTGGTCTTGTTCTTGGTCCTGGTCTTCACCCACAGCAGGTCTAACACGTTGTTCTGCCTCTGCTCTCTCTGGTGTTAGTCCTGGTCCCAGTCTTGGTCCTGGTCCCAGTCTTGGTCCTGGTCCCAGTCTTGGTCCTGGTCTTAGTCTTGGTCCTGGTCTTAGTCTTGGTCTCAGTCTTGGTCCTGGTCTTCACCCACAGCAGGTCTAACACTTCGTTTTGCCTCTGTTCTGTCTGGTGTTTGTTCTAGTCTTAATCCCGGTCTAAGTCCTGGTCTTAGTCCTGGTCTTGATCTTGGTCTTGATCTTGGTCTCAGTCCTGGTCCAGGTCCTGGTCTTGGTCTCAGGAAAGTAGGACCTCTCCCGCCTCCGCCCACAGTGGGTCTAACACTTCGTTCTGCTTCTGTCTCTCTTGTGTTAGTCCTGGTCCCAGTCTTAATTCTGGTCTTAGTCTTGGTCCTGTTCTTGATCTTGGTCTCAGCCTTAGTCTCAGTCTCGGTCTCGGTCCTGGTCTCAGTCCTAGTCCTGGTCTTGGTCCTGGTCTTCACCCACAGCGGGTCTAACACTTCGTTCTGCCTCTGCTCTCTCTGGAGTTAATTCTAATCTTACTTCTAGTCTTAGTCCCGGTCTTGGTCCTGTTCTTAGTCCTGGTCCTGGTCCTGGTCTTGGTCCTGGTCTCGGTCCTTGTCTCGGTCCCGGTCTCGGTCCTGTTCTCAGGGCAGTAGGGCCTCCCCCTCCTCGACCCAGAGCAGGTCTAAGACTTCGTTCTGCCTCTGCTCTCTCTGGTCTCAGTCCTGGTTGTAGTTTTGGTCTTGATCTTGGTCCTGGTCTTGGTCCTGGTCTCGGTCTCGGTCTCAGGGTACTAGGGCCTTTCCCTCCTCGGTCCAGAGCAGGTCTAAGACTTCGTTCTGCCTCTGCTCTCTCTGGTCTCGGTCCTGATCGTGGTTTTGTTCTGGTTGTAGTTTTGTCTTGATCTTGGTCTGGTCTTGATCTTGGTCCTTCTGTTGGTCCTGGTCTTGATCTTGGTCCTGGTCTTGGTCCTGGTCTCGGTCTCGGTCTCAGGGTACTAGGGCCTTTCCCTCCTCGGTCCAGAGCAGGTCTAAGACTTCGTTCTGCCTCTGCTCTCTCTGGTCTCGGTCCTGATCGTGGTTTTGTTCTGGTCGTAGTTTTGGTCTTGATCTTGGTCCTGGTCCTGGTCCTGGTCTTGGTCTCGGTCCCGGTCTTGGTCTCGGTCCCGGTCTCGGTCTCAGGGCAGTAGGGCCTCCCCCTCCTCGACCCAGAGCAGGTCTAGGACTTCGTTCTGCCTCTGCTCTCTCTGGTGGATGCGGCGCAGTCTGAGCACGTAGAGGAGGATGGACAGCGCCACCACCAGGATGCACACGGACAGAACGTGGTGATTATAGACGAAGGACGAGCGAAGCCAACTCGAGTTTGGGTTCGGACGCAAAGACTCCTGCTGCAGGTCCCTGAGGACACACAGAGGACACGGAGGACACGCTCAGAGACAGAGGACACACAGAGGACACAGAGGACACAGAGGACACGCTTAGAGACAGAGAAGACAGAGAGAGACAGAGGACACAGAGAGAGACAGAGGACACACTCAGACGGAGGACACGCTCAGAGACAGAGGACACATAGAGAAGAGACAGAGGAGACACACAGAGGACACGGAGGACACGCTTAGAGACAGAGGACACACAGAGGACACGCTTAGAGACAGAGGACAAAGAGAGAGACAGAGGAGACATAGAGAAGAGACAGAGGAGACAGAGGACACGCTCAGAGACAGAGGACACAGAGGAGACAGAGGACACCCTCAGAGGACACACGCTCACAGACAGAGGACACACAGAGGACACGGAGGACACGCTTAGAGACAGAGGACAAAGAGAGAGACAGAGGACAACTCAGAGACAGAGGACACGCTTAGAGACAGAGGACACACTCAAGAGACAGAGGACACGCTTAGAGACAGAGGACATGCTTAGAGACAGAGGACAGACAGAGGACACACAGAGGACACAGAGGACACGCTCAGAGACAGAGGACAAAGAGAGAGACAGAGGACACGAGAGAACAGAGACACAGAGAGACAGAGGACACGCTCAGAGACAGAGGACACAGAGGAGACAGAGGACACCCTCAGAGGACACACGCTCACAGACAGAGGACACACAGAGGACACGGAGGACACGCTTAGAGACAGAGGACAAGAGAGAGACAGAGACACACTCAAGAGACAGAGGACACGCTTAGAGACAGAGGACACTCAAGAGACAGAGGACACGCTTAGAGACAGAGGACATGCTTAGAGACAGAGGACAGACAGAGGACACACAGAGGACACAGAGGACACGCTCAGAGACAGAGGACATGCTTAGAGACAGAGGACAGACAGAGGACACACAGAGGACACAGAGGACACGCTCAGAGACAGAGGACAAAGAGAGAGACAGAGACACGCTCAGAGACAGAGGAGACAGACAGAGACAGAGGAGACAGAGAGAGAGGAGACCAAGGAGACACACAGAGGACACGGAGGACACGCTCAGAGACAGAGGACACAGAGGAGACAGAGAGAAGACTGAGGAGACACACAGAGCACACGCTTAGAGACAGAGGACAGACAGAGGACACACAGAGGACACAGAGGACACGCTCAGAGACAGAGGACACAGACAGAGGACACAGACAGAGGACACAGACAGAGGACACAGAGGAGACAGAGGACACGCTCAGACAGAGGACACAGAGAGACAGAGGACAGAGAGGACACACGCTCACAGACAGAGGACAGACAGAGGACACCCTCACAGACAGAGGACACGCTCAGAGACACAGGAGACATAGAGAAGAGACAGAGGAGACACACAAAGGAGACAGAGGAGACAGAGGACACGCTCAGACACAGAGGAGACAGAGAGACACACAGAGAGAGGACACAGAGAGAGAGGACACAGAGAGAGAGGACACAGAGAGAGAGGACAGAGAGAGAGGACAGAGAGAGAGACAGAGAGAGGACACAGAGAGAGAGGACACAGAGAGAGAGAGAGAGAGAGGACAGAGAGAGAGGACAGAGAGAGAGAGAGAGAGAGAGGACAGAGAGAGAGGACGAGAGAGAGACAGAGAGAGGACAGAGAGAGAGGACAGAGAGGGACACGAGAGAGAGAGAGGACAGAGAGAGAGACAGAGAGAGAGAGAGAGACAGAGAGGACAGAGAGAGAGGACAGAGAGAGAGAGAGAGAGAGAGGAGACAGAGAGAGAGAGAGAGGACAGAGAGAGAGAGAAGACAGAGAGAGAGGACACAGAGAGAGAGAGAGACAGAGAGGAGACAGAGAGAGAGGACAGAGAGAGAGAGAGAGGACAGAGAGAGAGGACAGAGAGAGAGACAGAGAGAGAGACAGAGAGAGAGGACAGAGAGAGAGAGAGAGAGGAGACAGAGAGAGAGAGAGAGAGAGGACACAGAGAGAGAGAGAGAGAGACAGAGAGAGAGAGAGAGAGAGGACGAGAGAGACAGAGAGAGAGAGAGAGAGACAGAGAGAGAGGACACAGAGAGAGAGAGAGAGGAGACAGAGAGAGAGGACGAGAGAGAGAGAGAGAGAGAGAGAGAGGACAGAGAGAGAGAGAGGAGACACAGACAGAGGACACAGAGAGAGAGAGAGAGAGAGAACAGAGAGAGAGGACACAGAGAGAGAGGACACAGAGAGAGGACAGAGAGACAGAGAGAGAGAGAGAGAGAGAGAGACACAGAGAGAGGACACAGAGAGAGAGGACACAGAGAGAGAGGACACAGAGAGAGAGGACAGAGAGAGAGAGGAGAGAGAGAGGACAGAGAGAGAGAGAGAGAGAGAGAGACAGAGAGAGAGAGAGACAGAGAGAGAGGACACAGAGAGAGAGACAGAGAGAGGAGAGAGAGAGAGAGAGGACAGAGAGAGAGAGGAGACAGAGAGAGAGGACAGAGAGAGAGAGAGAGAGACAGAGAGAGAGAGGACACAGAGAGAGAGGACACAGAGAGAGAGGAGACAGAGAGAGAGGAGACACAGAGAGAGGACAGAGAGAGAGGACAGAGAGAGAGGACACAGAGAGAGAGGACAGAGAGAGGACAGAGAGAGAGAGAGAGAGGACAGAGAGAGAGGACAGAGAGAGGACAGAGAGAGAGGACACAGAGAGAGAGAGAGAGAGAGAGAGGACAGAGAGAGAGGACAGAGAGAGAGGACACAGAGAGAGAGGACACAGAGAGAGGACAGAGAGAGAGGACAGAGAGAGAGAGACAGAGAGAGAGGACAGAGAGAGGAGACAGAGAGAGAGGACAGAGAGAGAGAGGACACAGAGAGAGAGGACAGAGAGAGGACAGAGAGAGAGGAGACAGAGAGAGGACAGAGAGAGAGAGGACACAGAGAGAGAGAGACAGAGAGAGGACAGAGAGAGACAGAGGACACAGAGACAGAGGACACGAGGACACAGAGAGAGACACAGAGAGAGGACACAGAGAGAGAGAGGACACAGAGAGAGAGGACACAGAGAGACAGAGAGAGGACACAGAGAGAGGACACAGAGAGAGACACAGAGAGAGAGAGAGAGAGGACACAGAGAGAGAGAGGACACAGAGAGAGAGGACACAGAGAGAGAGGACACAGAGAGAGAGGACACAGAGAGAGAGACAGAGAGAGGACACAGAGAGAGAGGACAGAGAGAGAGGAGACAGAGACAGAGGACAGAGACAGAGGACACAGAGACAGAGGACACACAGAGAGAGGAGACAGAGACAGAGGACACAGAGACAGAGGACACAGAGACAGTAGTCCACCTGAGAGGGAGGAAGCGTGTCTTGTAGAGAATGGCGCCCAGAGTCCATTGCACTTCTTTGTCCTGGACGAGCTGAGCCGTTTTCAGACTGGAGTAAGACAACGGGAAACGAAACCCTGAGTGAAGAACCTCAAACATCCAGGCCGACTTAAAACACTGGAACCTGAAACACAAACCGCCGCACGTCACAAAAACTGTCCTCAACGAAATTCATTTGGTCATAGTTATCTGATTATTGTTTTTGTTTTTTTTAAATTATGAAAGATTTATTTATTTATTTAAAGCCTACATGACATTCAATAATCAGAAAACCACATCAATGTTTAATTAAGAATAAAGTTGTAGAAGAAATTTTAAAAAAAGTATTTACTGGGGATTTATTACTCTTTTTTTTTTTACACACAACATAAACACTCACTCGTGGTTTATTTTTATTAATTTTTATTATTTACTACTTAGTTTTTGGGGTTTTTTTCAGTCTTGTTTAAATGTGTAGCTGAGGGGTGAGGGACTCCAGGTTGTAGATGAATTTAAGTATCTTGGTGTTACCTTGGACTCCACTTTAACTTTTAAAAAACATGTAAAAAACATATCAAAAATTGTTGATTTTAATATTCACAATTTTAGGCAAATTAGAGCATCATTGCCAGAAAATGCAGCTAAAATGTTTCTCCACAGCAGGATTCTCTCTCATATTGAACACTGTATTACTAACTGGTCACTGACGAACATGACAACCTTAAAAATAATAGAATCACTTTTTTAAAAAGCGTTAAAGATGTTTGATAGGAAATCTTTATCTTTTCATCATTGTCTCATATCTTAAGTTTTGGAAATTTTCAAAAATTTTAACTCGCCTGCTCAGTCTACGAAGTCTTAAATGGAGTCGCTCCACCAGCTCTGGGTGAGTTCATTAAGCCCAAGTCCGGCACTAGTGGTCGGGGAACAAGAGCCTCGACCAGAGACGACTGTGTAAAACCCTATACACCACAGGTGTCAAACATACGGCCCGGGGGCCAGATCCGGCCCTCCAAGACCTTTAATGTGGCCCTTGGGTGATTTTCTACTAAAATATTTGAATGATATTTTCTATTAAAATCTTGTTAATTTTCTGTGGTGTTTATCACAGCAGCGTCTCCAGTGTCTCTGTACGTGGCCCCTCCCACCAGAGCAGCACAAATGAAGACTTGTCTCTTTCCAAACGCTCTTAAAGGACGATCGTTTTGACTGTTGACCGTGACACCCTCATCAGAAAAATGTCCAACATGAGAAAAGTGGAGCCGAGTGCAGGAATTTTACAACAAAAATGGACTTATTCCTGTTTGCATATAAGTTCATGTTAAAACTTTGTGTTGAAATTGAATTTTTCTTCAAGTTTCAGGTTGTTCATAATAGGGACGGGCATTCGATGAAATTTTCTTAATCGATCGTCGGAAGAATTAATGATCGATTATCGATTAATCATTAACGTTTTTATATTAAAATGATCATCATTATTATTACTATCTGCACTAATCTGCATAAATAAATTCAACTTTACGACATATAAACATAACGACTCTAGATCCACATCAGCTGTTTGACATTATAATGTGTTTAATTCAGTTTTGTTCAAATCTCACAGAAACAAAACTTAAAACCACATCACTAATTTACATAAACTAAGTGAAGATAAAACTCCAGCTCTTGTGTCGCTGATGTGGTTCAACTTGTGTTGGATTAAAAGACATGACTCAGGTGAATACAGGTCAGTGTGACCAGATTTGTGTTTGTCAAAACCAGGACAGCGTACGGGGGGAGGGGGCGGGGCCTTGTCATCCAAACTTTTTCCCACTGGACACAGAAACATATGTGCTGCTTTATACACTGTGCACATGGACTCACACTTGTCCCAACAAGTGTGGAATTTCTTGTCCAAATCATCGTTAAATCCACATTTGTGCTTCCAGTGGCTTCGGCTTGCAGGCCGACCCACTGTTTGTGTCTCGCTCCTTCTGATGCAGAGACACATGTACACACCTGTTTGGTCACGACACACACACATACATTCAGTTTGTCCATTAAAATTAATGTAATTGATGAAATTCTTAATGATCAATTATCAATTAATCGATTATTCATGCCCATCCCTAGTTCATAATATTATAATATTATAATAAGAAAGAGTTCATCAATTAAAAAAGATTTCTGTAATAGATTTGCGTTTCTCTGAGCAAATATTTGAACTTATTGTTATTTTTGGGGTTTATATACCATGAGTTTTCTGATCTGGCCCCTTTGGGATCAAAGTAGGTTGGATACGGCCCCCGGACCAAAATGAGTTTGACACCTCTGCTATAGACGCACAACTTTCAGTCAACAGGTGTGATCAGTCAAGGAACAGAAATCTGGAACAACATCCCAGCTGCTATAAGAGACTCCACCACATTCAGTTCATTTAAAACTAATGTGAAACGACGGCTTAAGAGAAACCAGATCTGTAACCACTAATGTTCTGCTCCTGTGTAAATGTCAGTGTTGTGTGTCATACTTGTGTGTTTGTCTATTGTGACGTGTTTTATGTTTTTATGTTTTATGTCTCTGTCTCTCTGACCTGCCAGGGACTACAGATGAAAAGTCGCCTTTGGGCTAATTCTGGCGTATTTACACGTATATGTTCATGAATATGCATCGTCCTTTCTAAAATAACCCATTTAAAGGTCATAAATAAAGTAGAGAGCCGTCCTCACTTGAGTCTGTTGAGGTCGGCCTGTTGTGAGAAGAGCTTGTTGTCCAGTCGTTGTTTCAGGATGGACCACTGGGTGGCGCAGTAATCCTGGAGCACACAAACCCAAACCATTACCACAGTAACACGCGGGAGAGTAAATATGTGAGAATAAGAGTAGATTGTGTTTTTACGGATGCGGCGCGGGAGTATTTGTGGCTGTCGTAGGTTCCTCGTATCCGCAGCACGTCCTCCATACAGTAAAAAAACTCAGAGAAACCGTAGAACTCACTGTTACTGAAGTTTATAGGAGCCTGAAAGAAAAAAAACAGAAAAAAAAACAGACACGAATCAATAATAAAACTAATATCGAGATTATATAAGGTCAGTCCTGTTTTAGTCCGGGTTCAGTCCGGGTTCAGTCCTGTTTTAGTCTGGGTTCAGTCCGGGTTCAGTTCTGTTTTAGTCCAATTTTAGTCCAATTTTAGACCAATTTTAGACCTGATTTATTTAGTCCTTTTAGTCCTAGTGTTTTAGTCCTGGTTCAGTTTTAGTTTTAGTCCTGATTTAGTCCTAGTCCCGTCCTGGTTCAGTCCTGGTTTAGTCCCATTTTAGTCCCGGTTCGGTCCCGTTTTAGTCCCGTTTTAGTCCCAGTTTAGTCCCGGTTCAGTCCCGGTTCAGTCCCGTTTTTAGTCCGGTTCAGTCCCGGTTCAGTCCGGTTCAGTCCCGTTTTAGTCCCGGTTCAGTCCTGTTTTAGTCCTGTTTTAGTCCCGTTTTAGTCCCGGTTCAGTCCTGGTTCAGTCCTGTTTTAGTCCCGGTCCAGTCCCGTTTTAGTCCCGTTTTAGTCCCGGTTTTAGTCCCGGTTTAGTCCCGGTTCAGTCCCGGTCCAGTCCCGTTTTAGTCCCGTTTTAGTCCCGTTTTAAGTCCCGGTTCAGTCCTGTTTTTAGTCCTGTTTTTAGTCCCGTTTTAGTCCCGGTTCAGTCCCTGGTTCAGTCCTGTTTTAGTCCCGTTTTAGTCCCGGTTCAGTCCCCGTTCAGTCCTGGTTCAGTCCTGGTCCAGTCCCGTTTTAGTCCCGTTTTAGTCCCGTTTTAGTCCCGGTTCAGTCCCGGTTCAGTCCCGTTTTAGTCCCGGTTCAGTCCTGTTTTAGTCCTGTTTTAGTCCCGTTTTAGTCCCGGTTCAGTCCTGGTTCAGTCCTGTTTTAGTCCCGGTCCAGTCCTTTTAGTCCCGTTTTAGTCCCGTTTTAGTCCCGGTTCAGTCCCGGTTCAGTTCTGTTTTAGTCCTGGTCCAGTCCTGGTCCAGTCCTGTTTTAGTCCTGTTTTAGTCCCGTTTTAGTCCTGGTTCAGTCCTGGTTCAGTCCTGGGTCCAGTCCCGTTTTACCAGATACTTCATAACCCTCTCATCGTGTAGTTCTTTGTTTTTTTTCTCTCGTCTCTCACCTGGTAAACTCCTCCGGGTGACATTGTGCCGTTGTGCAAACCCAGAAAAGGCCGGACCACCTCCTGACAGCGGGACCACTCGCCCTGGCCCCGGAGGTGGAGGGTTCGATTCCCCCTCACCACGGAGTCTGACAACCCCACGGGCAAGCAGGGGTCGAAGAGGGGCTGGTCTGGAGACAGGCCCGGAGCCGACTGCGAACGCACACTGACACCAAACACAACAGACGCTCAGGACCAAATACAGGACTTTTGTTTTGAAACCCGACCTACAGTGTTTGTGTTTGTTCTGTTGTTATAATCTCCGTCACCCGAGGAGCTTTATGTTAGAATTTGGACATTTTAAATCACAAAATTGATCTAAAATGACTTAATAAAAGAAACAAGAGTGCTGACTTTTGTGTTAAATCCGTCACACACTACAGGATTTTTCGGTCTTAAGTAAATGATTTTTAAACGTGCCACAAAAAGCACAGACCACAGACACGAGGAGAATCTCATGAGACTTAAAATCTCCGATCGTAAAAACTGCAGCGGGATCTGTCTGCTGTGAGTGCGATTGTGTCAGGTGCTTCCTGTCTACAGTAAAATCAGTCGCTCTGAGACTCTTAGGTGTTAAAATTAGGGACGGGCATTCGATGAAATTTTCTTAATCGATCGTCGGAAGAATTAACGATCGATTATCGATTAATCATTTTTATATTAAAATGATCATCATTATTATTACTATCTGCACTAATCTGCATAAATAAATTCAACTTTATGACATATAAACATAACGACTCTAGATCCACATCAGCTGTTTGACATTATAATGTGTTTAATTCAGTTTTGTTCAAATCTCACAGAAACAAAACTTAAAACCACATCACTAATTTACATAAACTAAGTGAAGATAAAACTCCAGCTCTTGTGTCGCTGATGTGGTTCAACTTGTGTTGGATTAAAAGACATGACTCAGGTGAATACAGGTCAGTGTGACCAGATTTGTGTTTGTCAAAACCAGGACAGCGTACGGGGGGAGGGGGGCGGGGCCTCGTCATCCACATTGAGCGACTCTCACCTGGAAAAACTTTTTCCCACTGGACACAGAAACATATGTGCTGCTTTATCCACTGTGCACATGGACTCACACTTGTCCCAACGCAACGGAAAGTGTGGAATTTCTTGCACAAATCCTGGTTAAATCCACATTTGTGCTTCGGTTCGTTACAGACTGACCCACTGTTTGTGTCTCGCTCCTTCTGATGCAGAGACACATGTACACACCTGTTTGGTCACGACACACACAACAACCTACATTCAGTTTGTCGATTAAAATTAACGTAATCGATGAAATTCTTAATGATCAATTATCGATTAATCGACTAATCATGCCCATCCCTAGTTCAAATCAGGAGTGTCAAACTCATTTTGGTCTGGGGGCCATATTCAACCTACTTTGATCCAAAGTGTCCGGATCAGAAAACTCATGTCATATAAACCCCAAAAATAACAATAAGTTCAAATATTTGTGCAGAGAAACACAAATCTATTACAGAAATCTTTTTTCATTGACTCTTTCTTTTACTAAATATTATAATATTATGAACAACCTGAAACTTGAAGAAAAATGCAATTTTTTTTACATTAACTTGTGTGAAAATAGGAATAAGTCAATTTTTGTTGTAAAATCTTGCATTCGGCTCCACTTTTCTCATGTTGGACATTTTTCTGATGAGGCACGGTCAACAGTCAAAACAATCGTCCTTTAAGAGCGTTTGGAAAGAGACAAGTCTTCATTTGTGCTGCTCTGGTGGGAGGGGCCACGTACAGAGACACTGGAGACACTGCTGTGATAAACACCACAGAAAATTAACAAGATTTTAATAGAAAATATCATTACAATATTTTAGTAGCCGAGGGCCAGATTAAAGGTCTTGGAGGGCCGGATCCAGCCCCCGGGCCGTATGTTTGACACCCCTGGTTTAAAAGATCAGACTCTGCACTTCTAGTTTAGATACAAGTCAAAACTGTGTTATTATTATTTGTGAAATGTGATACAAAACTTCAGATACAAGATTTTTAAATGGTCACATTTTTCTATTGTGCTTTTCCACCTTCAAGGCTCAAAGCTCTTTACAACAAGGAACAACTCACCCATTCACACACCAGTGCACACAGACACTGTGGGCAAGGTGGGTTAAGTGTCTTGCCCAAGGACACAACAGCATTCATTCATCTGTGGGAGCTGGAATCACACCAGCAACCTGTGGGTCAGTGAATCTGACCACTCAACCTGTGATGTTTATGTCAAGAGCTGGAATTGAACCTCCAACCTTTAGATCAGTGGGCGAATGCTCCACCAACTGAACTACTGCCTACTAAAGAATAAAGTTTGGAGATAAAGTTCACAGGAGAAGTAGAGACACTGTTGCTAATCTACAGCTTCACCTCGATCCGTGCGCTGTGTGGATGTAAACAGACACATGTGAGGAACTACTCCCACCTTTTTACTTTTAAAGAATGACTCAAACTGGATTAACAGTGCGGTTTTGTGGACTGGATGTTATTATTTGCATAGAACAAATTCTATGGATAATGTGGATGAGCTGCTGCGCTTTAAAGTTAATACTTCGTGACAGGTTCATTTATTTTGTTTATTTGTATAGCACAATTTGTACACAAAGAGGTGAGGAATAAAGTCTTATTATTTTCGCTATTTCCTGAGTTTGTCTCTTGCGTCTCTGTGTCCGTCGCTCCTCTGCCCTGACGCTCTGTTTTATTGTCTGTTATCGTATCGTTGTTGATGTTTGGTGGTTAAGATCTGACAGAGCAGCTCATAGTCACACAAACACGAGGAGCGCAGCGGCTTCAAAATTGCACATGAAGACACAAAGTCTGGTCACGCTGAACTCGAGGAGAAGTAACCCTGCGTTCGATTTTCTTCCGACTCCCACTTGGACCTCGGATTTGACGTCACGTCCCTGTATTATTATGTTTGGCGTGTCAGACTACGGGGACTATGATTATGACGGCAGTAGCTCAGTTGGTGGAGCATCTGCCCACTGATCTGAAGGTTGGTGGTTCGAATCCAGCTCTCGACATAAACATCACAGGTTGAGCGTCAGATCCACTGACCCACAGATGAATGCTGTCGTTGTGTATTTGGGCAAGACACTTCACCCACCTTGCCCACAGTGTGTGAATGTGTGTGTGAATGGGTGAGTGGTTCCTTGTTGTAAAGTGCTTTGAGCCTTGAAGGTGGAAAAGCGCTATAGAAAAATGTGACCATTTACCACTATCATATGACTATTCCCTAATTTTATGAAAATGCTGAAACTTTAATTTAACTTAATTTTTGAAATTTGCACTTCATCTTATGTTATGATTTTTCATGATTTTATGTTATGACGTTCTGCCTTAGGAATGTTAACGTGTGTTAAATCAAGTATTTGTTCAATATTGGCCTCACGACAACACCGACTCCCAAACCCACAGTGATACAGTAAAGTACTGTAGTGATACCATTGACTGAAACTGTCATTTAAACCACCAAAGTGTCCAAACACAATGAAAACACTTCATATTTACACATCACAGTGGGCGTAGCCACTTGGAATCCTTGCTCGGTCGACTTTTTCTGCCACCGAGGTCCGAGTTAAGGACCGAGGAAAAGGGGCAAGGCAAGTTCCTCGGAAAACTGATTCGGAATCATAATCGAACGCAGGGACAATCGCAGTCTAAACCGGGTAAATTCTCCTGTAGTGTGCGACAGCCTTTAGAAAACTGTGGAGTCCAAAGGGAGATGACGCTGTTTTCATTTGGACCAAAATGACTACGAGACGCTGCAGAATCCTACGTGTATCACCGATTCAGAAAATCAAACTGGAGAGTGAAGTGTGTAGGTCACAGCTGTAACATGGACAAAAACTCTGAATAGTTGTGCTCTACGTGATATTTTACCGGAGGAGGAAGAAGAAGAGGAGAAGGAGGAGAAGGACAACGAGGAGGAGGAGGAGGAGGAGGAGAGGAGGAGGAGGAGAACGAGGAGGAGGAAGAGGAGGAGAATTAGGAGGAGGAAGGAGGAGAGGAGGAGGAGGAGAACGAGGAGGAGAAGAGGAGGAGGAGGAGAGGAGAAAGAGGAGGAGGAGGAGGAGGAGGAGGAGGAGGAGGAAGAGGAGGAGGAGGAGGAGGAGGAGAAGAAAGGAAGGAGGAGGAAGAGGAGGAGAGGAGGAGGAGGAAGAGGATTAGGAGGAGGAGGAAGAGGAGGAGGAAGGAGGAGAACAGAGGAGGAGAGGAGGAGGAGGAGAGGAGGAGGAGAAGAGGAGGAGAACGAGGAGGGAGGAGGAGAACGAGGAGGAGAGAGGAGGAGGAGAGAGGAGGAGGAGGAGGAGGAGAGAAGAAGAGAGAACAGGAGGAGGAGGAGAAGGAGGAGGAAAGAGGAGGAGGAGGAGGAAGGGAGGAGGAGGAGAACGAGGAGGAAGAGGAGGAGGAAGAACGAGGAGGAGGAGAGAGAGAGGAGGAGGAGGAGAGAGGAGAAGAAGGAGGAGGAGGAGAACGAGGAGGAAGAAGAGGAGAACGAGGAGGAGGAGGAGAAGGAGGAGGAAGAGGAGGAGAACGAGGAGGAAGAGGAGGAGGAGGAGGAGGAGGAGGAGAAGAGGAGAAGGAGGAGAAGAAGAGGAGAACGAGGAGGAGGAGGAGAAGGAGGAGGAACGAGGAGGAGAGAACGAGGAGGAAGAGGAGGAGGAGGAGAACGAGGAGGAGAAGGAGGAGGAGGAGGAGAAGGAGGAGGAAGAAGAGGAGAACGAGGAGGAGGAGGGTTACGAGGATTAGGAAAACGAGAAGGAGGAAGAGGAGGAGGAGGAGGAGGAGGGGAGGAGGAGGAGGAGGAGGAGGAGGAGGAGGAGGAGGAGGAGGAGGAGGAGGAGGAAGAGGAGGAGGAGGAGGAGGAGGAGGAGGAGGAGGAAGGAGGAGGAGGAGGAGGAGGAGGAGGAGGAGGAGGAGGAAGGAGGAAGAGGAGGAGGAGGAGGAGGAGGAGAGGAGGAAGGAGGAGGAGGAGGAGGAGGAGAGGAGAGGAGGAGGAAGAGGAGGAGGAGGAGGAGGAAGAGGAGGGTGGGCGTGGTCGTACCTGCTGCTCACGGTGCTGTTGAACAGATGATCCTCGTATCTCTGTCGCGCCATGTTTCCTCCAAAGCCCAGGAAGGTGGTGACGTAGACTCTGTAGACGTGCTCCGTGTGCTCCACATCACAGCCCAGGTTAAACTCAGCCAGCACACCCTTCCCCGCCTCCTCCTGCACGCAGACCCGTACAAGCCCTCGTTTAGTCCCGGTTTAGTCCTGGTCTAGCCCTCGTTTAGTCCCAGTTTAGACCCGGTTTAGACCCGATTTAGTCCTGGTTTAGACCTGGTTTATCCCTCGTTTATTCCCGGTTAAGTCCCGGTTTAGTCCTGGTTTAGCCTTCGTATAGTCCTTGTTTCAGTCCTGGTTTAGCCCCTGGGTCAGTCCTGGTTTTAGTCCTGTTTTTAGTCCTGTTTTTAGTCCTGTTTTTAGTCCTGGTTTTAGTCCGTGGTCTAGTCCTGTTCTAGTCCTGATTTAGGCCTGGTTTGGATCTGGTTTAGTTCCAGTTTCAGTCCTGTTTTAGTCCTGGTTCATTCTTGGTTCAGTCCTGGTCTATTCCTGGTCTAGTCCTGGTTAAGTCCTGGTTCCGTCCCAGGTCTAGTACTGGTTTATTCATGGGTTAGTCCCTGAATCAGTCCTGGTTTTAGACTTGGTTTAGGCCTGGTTCAGTCCCTGTTCCAGTTCTGGTTCAGTGCAGGTTTCAGTCCTGTTTTTAGTCCTAGTTTCAGTCCTGGTTCATTCCTATATCAGTCCTGGTTCAGTCCTGGATCAAACCTGGTTTGAGTCCTGGTTTAGTCCCAGTTTCTGTCCTGGTTTAGACCTGGTCCAGTCCCTGATTTAGTCCCTGATTCAGTGATGGTTCAATCCTTGTTTTAGTCCTGATTTAGTCCTGGTTCAGTCCCTTTTTCATAGTAGACCTGCTCTGGTCTTGTTCTAGTCCAGGATTAGTTCCAAAATAAATCCCGGTTTAGTCCCAGTTTTGATGTGGTCTAAGAGTAAAAGTGAAAACATCTTTAAATGTCACAGAGCTCAAACCGCTCAGAGTCTCAGTGCTGACCTCTTGTGGCGAGCTGAAGTGAATGACCCCGGGCACCTCGTAGGCGATCTGCAGCGAAGCTCCGCCCATGTCCATGATGCCCACCGTGCGCCGCCTGCTGATTGGCTGACGGCTCTGCGAACTCGTCGTGACCTCCACCGTGGCGTCGTCTGAACGAATCAACGATCACAGGTGGACAGACTTAGAATAAAGTTTGACTTAAACACGAACGAAACAAAACACAACTCCAGGTCTGTTTTTGTGGAGGAACAACATTATAACAGAGTCAGTTTTGTGTCATACTGGCAGTGTTGAGGAGTAACAGATTACATGTACCGGAGTTACGTAATCAGAGTACAAATTATGAGTAACTGTATTCAGTTACAGTTACTGTTTCAGTGAGTGGTAATTGGATTACAGTTACTTAGTTGAAATCAGTGGATTACACAGAGGGATTTTCCTGTTTTCACATTATTTATTTATTTATTTTTTTCAGTAATTCCACTCATTGCTGGAAACTAAACCAGGTCTAAACCAGGTCTAAACCAGGACTAAACCAGGTCTAAACCAGGTCTAAACCAGGACTAAACCAGGACTAAACCAGGACTAAACCAGGACTAAAACCAGGTCTAACCCAGGACTAAACCAGGACTAAACCAGGACTAAAACCAGGTCTAAGATAGATCTAAACCAGGTCTAAACTAGATCTAAACCAGGACTAAAACCAGGTCCAAGATAGATCTAAACCACGTCTAAGATAGATCTAAACCAGGACTAAAACCAGGTCTAAGATAGATCTAAACCAAGTCTAAACTAGATCTAAACCAGGACTAAACCAGGACTAAAACCAAGTCTAAACTAGATCTAAACCAGGACTAAAACCAGGTCTAAACTAGATCTAAACCAGGTCTAAACCAGGACTAAACAAGGACTAAAACCAGGTCTAAACTAGATCTAAACCAGGACTAAAACCAGGTCTAAGATAGATCTAAACCAGGACTAAACTAGATCTTAACCAGGACTAATCCAGGACTAAAACCAAGTCTAAGATAGATCTAAACCAAGTCTAAACTAGATCTAAACCAGGACTAAAACAGGATTTAACAGGACTAAACCATGCTGCTCAGACGTGTCTCCTCCTCTTCTATCAATAATATTTTTAATACGGTTAAGATTTCCTCGTCTTTGCTTCTCTACAGCAAATCAAGTAATCCAAAGTATTCAGATGATGTTACTCACTTTAAGTAATTTAATGGATTACATTACAAACTACATTTTGGTGTGTGTAATCTGTAATCTGTAGGGGATTACATTTTAAAAGTCACCTTCCCAACACTGAATGAATGAATGGGACCTTTAAAGACTAAACAAAAGTCAACATTTTACTGGCTAAAGTTTGACCTACATTGTGACTAATATGTGTTAACTGATTTAAATATAAATAAAAATCTCACTCACCCAGTTCCGCGTGATCAAATCGACCCAGAACAAAGTTGATACCGATCCAGGCGTACACTCCTGAAACAGAAACCATCAAACCTCAGTGCTCTCGAGGGGTAGCCTGATTCATCACACGGTTTCACTTTGTTTCACTTTGTAGAAACCGTCTGACCTCGCAGTGTTAGAAAAGGCGGTAGGCAGGTACTTTTTATCATTTACCGTATTTTCCGCACTATAGGGGCTCTGGATTATAAACTGCTCTGTCATTGAATGATCTATTTTCAAACTTTTTTCACATACAAACAGCACCGGACTATAAGTCTACGTTCAGACTGCAGGGTTTAACGCTCAATTCCGATTTTTTTGTGAAATCCGATGTTTTTGCGAGGTCGTTCACATTTCCAGTTAAATGCGATTTGTATGTGACTCCAGTGTGAACATTAAACGGCCCGAAAGTGTCCCACATGTGACACTGGAGACACCGCAGCGAGCGTGATCTGTGTTTACAGAAGTTGTCCAAACATGGACGCAGCATCGAGCACCTGGAGATTTTAAAGTTCCTCTCGTACCGGAGCCACAACATGAACAACTGACTTGTTTTAAGGAGGAGATTGAGAAGGAGAAGGACCAGGTTTTTTGGTCGTGGTGTTTTGTGGTGAGTGGTGATGTGCTTCACTTCAGGTCACACTCAGTTCATTAACAATTTTCACCGACTTCAGCGCAGAATAGTGACGTTTGTGTCTTGTTGATAACGTGTAGGTGGATGAATGCACTTTGGCCGTTCACACTAAAGTCGCATGTCAAAAGATCAGATATGTATCGGTTTTAGGAGCACATATCCAAGTGTCCTGGGTCACATTTGAAAAAATCAGATCTGTGTGGTTCAGACTGACATTAAAAGATCAGATACAGGAACATAGGGCCAAAAAAATCGGATTTGGGTCACTTCAGGTGCAGACTGAACGCAGCCTAAGGCTCATTAAACGAAACACAAGTTAGATAAGTCAGTCAAACTTTATTTAACGCGTTCACAATAACTCTCAACTTTGTTCAATTGTAACGCGTAAAAAAATCTTATCTGAGATGCAAAATTGTTCGTGTATTTACAATAAGTCATAATAGTTCAAACAGTTGGGTGATTCCAGCATCCACACGTCCACATCCCTCTGTCATGATCCGAGTCAGTGTGGTTCCTGTTCCCTGGAGTTCAGTTCAGTGATGATTCAGGTCTTGGTGAAAGCTCGGACCACAGTTGATACTGATCCTTTGTCCAGGCGTCCACGATCCATCGGCAGATCGTGGCGTAAGTGGCTCGGCGCTGTCTCTCTGTCTTGGTGAATGTGTGTTGTCCTTCTCTCATCCACTGCTCCCACACAGTTCACACTTTCACTTTATAACAGCCTTGAGTTTAAAGTGGGCGTTGTGAGTGTGTCTCTTGACAGGTGCATTTTGATATTAAAAGGAATCACAGTTTGTTTTACTCCTGATGCTCCTGACTACGGGAGCCATAACGCTGCAAGTGGAGCGGCTTTGTAGTTTACTAAAGTCGTACTAATTCGCCTCAATAAATTCATATATAAGGTGCTCTGGATTATAAGGCACGCAGATGATTTTTGATGAAATTTAAGACTGTTAAGTGCGCCCTATAGTGCAGAAAATACGGTAACCAATCGCTGCTATTTGGCTGTGACGTATGTAATGCACCGTTAACAGGACTAACTGGTATATTAAGCTTTTCCCAAATCCCGTAGGAAGAAGGACAATAACGTCTTTCCCTTTCACCAAACATTCTCTTTGTTCCGATTTTAAATCGTCGATCTGGGAAATCGCTGACAACACAGAAACTATGTCTCTTCTCTGATTGGTTGATGCCTGAACTCGCACTTTCGGGGTTTTTGCGAACCGTCTAGTGTATTCCGAATCCTGACCTAGTCGCTGGAGAGAAATGAAACTGAGTGGAGGCACTAGGTGGCGCCAGACTGGCTACTCTAGGAGTGTACAGAAATATCAAAATATCGATATATCGTATTGTTTAATGTGATGATGCAGTATTGATATCGGGGGTTGCTGTATCGATATATCACCAATATTTATATTTTACTAAATTATTTTGTTACAGCTATAGTTGTGTTGCTTGTTTAGAGGAAGGAAACTCGTTTATGCGACATTTTCACTGTTTTGACGATTAAAATGTTTGTGTTTCATATGAACTTTGCACAAGAAGTGGTTTAACAAAGACTTTTAGAATCACAGACATGATTCAGCCTTTATTTTTTATTAAAATGTATTGAATAGATTTGAAATATATCGTATCGAACTGAAAGTGCATTGTCTTGAGTTAAGTATTGTATCGTGGTCTGTATCGTATCAGAAACCTCCTACCAGGATTAGGGCTGGGTATCATTAATAATTTGCCGATACGATACATATCTCGATACATAGGCCACGATACGATATATATCTCGATACAGTGAGCTTTCTAATCGACACGATTCGATACGATATATTTCAAATGGATTCAATACAGTTCAATAAAAAATAAAGCCTAACACACGGCTGTGATACTAAAAGTTTTTGTTAAACCACTTCTTGTGCAAAGTTCATATGAAACACACATTTTAATCATCAAAAAGTGAAAATGTCAAATGTGGTTCATAAAAAAGTTTCCTTCATTCAAACAAGCAACAAAACTGTAGCACTGTAATAAAATTATTTAGTAAAATATACCAAAAATATGCTCTTGGCAATATATTGATCCCGCAGCTCGTGATATCAATACTGTATCATCACATTAAACGATACGATATATTGATATTTCGTTATTTTTGCACAGGATGTATAAACAGTAACATCTGTGTGTTACCTTCCTGTTTCCCGGAGATGACCTCAGCGTGAGACTCGGAAAACAGGAAGTCAAACTCCAGAGGAACGTCGCTCACGATGTCCTCCAAGATGGCCGCCTGTTCACTGGAGAAGAAACAGAAGACGGTTCACGTAAAGTGCCGACGTGTGACATCGAATCTGACCAATCACAGGTAGAATAACGTTCACGTCACACACAAAGATGGATTCTCTCTCTTTCTGAGTTCACAAACCACTGATCTATAATAAAAACAGGATAAGCCCCTCCCCCTCTGTCCCGGCTCCAGACAGACTAGTGGTCGCTCCAGGTACTGCAGCTCCCAGTTCTCCCACAGAGCGCAATGCATTTTGGGAATTCAAACTGCCCGTGTTCTTCAGGGCATCGATCTTTCACAAAGGTCGGATTTTGTAGGATTCTTTTCTATTTTCACAACATCAACTTTTTAAAAATGTTTAAATCCTCAAAGCTCCTAAAAGTGATCTTTGTCAGACTGAGCCTCGCCGCTTTAGCCGCTCTGAGCAGCTCTCGCTCGGATTGGTCCAAACGCTCCACGCCGTGCACGTTACAGATGTCACGCCCGGATTGAGGAAGTAAATACGGAAGAGAAAATTATTCTTGGGCCCACGAGCCGATGAGCACAGACCCCACAGACAACACTACCCGACGCCATCTTGTGTTTATCTTCAGATTTTAGTCTAGTTTTATGCGACAGACAAACTTCAGCCCGTTTGAGTAAAAGTACAGACTATTACGTGTGTAGATGTCTGAACTTTTGTTTCCACTGGATTAAACTAAAGATTTTTTTTACTTGTTTTGCTGTTGAGACGCTTCAGAAAAGGCAAAACGTCTTGACTGATATTTGAATCTGATTGGTTGATCACTTCCAGCGAGAGTCGTTAAATGTGTAGAACTGAATCAATCTGTGATGTATCTGTGTGAGCCGAGTCACAGCGACATCTCACTTTAGGACATTTTTTAACAAGTCTTCAGCCATTTTAATTATTTTAAAATTAGAATTTAAGAACATTTAGGCTATGACAAAACTTTTCTTTGCGGGTTGAAAAAAATTTGCATCCACACACGTGTCGGATCAGTAAATATTCACGTCCAGACGACAACAGAGCACTGAGTGAAAATGATGTAATACAGCTGCCACACCTGTATGTGGCGCTGTAACAATGATAATAATATTTAATAATGCAAATCTCATCACCGTGTTTTAAACTTTAAGGTAATTTAGCCGATTTTAGATTCTATCCCAGAAATACAACTTTGTTTTGCTTTGTAAAAGTTAAACACAAGTCACAGAGAGAACACTCATCTTCCACTGAGTCGTGTCCTTTAGTCCGACAGAAGCTGAACCACATCAGAGACACAAGGAAAGAGATGATTTTTTGAGCTCAGTTTATGTAAATGAGTCATGTGGTTTTAGTTTCATTTCTGTAAAACATAAACAAATGTGCTCAAAGTTGTGTGGATGGAGAAGACTTGTGGACACAGAAACGACGTGTCTGGACGCAGATCGTTTCTGATTCGGTGATATGTGGATTTGTTTCAGTGTAAACGTCTTTGTTATTGATCCGTGTGTGTGTCTGTGGTGTGTGTTGTTAGTTTTGCCTCTAACAGTGTGTTTCGGTTTCTGGGCGACAGGAGCGGCTCCGTAGGCTGCACCTGTCACATTTCGCCATCGTTCTTGTGGTCTGTGGAGGTCAGTTCGAGGTTCGAGGGCTGCAGGCTTCGCTGCATCAGAGGATCCTGGTGATGACGAGATTGTGATGTCATCGTTTTCCAAAAGCTGCTGTTTGCTCGTCCACACGACAACACAACACCAGTGTTCTCAGATTTCTCCACTATGGAACCCGTTCTCTAAAAACTCTGTTTTCGCCCACACAAAACACCGACTCCATGTGAACGAAAGACCAAAACGAATCCAAACTTATCCGTTTTGACCAAAAAACATTGCCGTGTGGACAGCCCCTTATTTTTTTGGCATTTGTTGCAGGTTATTGTCATGTGTGTGAGCTTCTGTGTCCAAGTCTTTGCTTATTGTGTTGTGTCTCTGTTGTGTTGTGTTATTGTGTTGTGTGTTGTTGTTGTGTTGTTGTACCTGTCTGGCAGCAGCCTCATGCCCGCCGTGCACAGGATGTACAGCGGCGTCTCTTTGTGTTTGTTTCTGGGGACGTGTGCGGCGGCAAAGCTCAGCAGCGGCTGCAGGTAGTCGCTGGCCGCAGTCGGAGTCTTGGCCAGAGTCGAGATCCCTGTCCACACAAAGACACTTTAATAAGACTCTACAACACTTCACTGAACAAACAAGGACCTAACGAGTGTGTCTTTATTTGTAAAAAGGCGCAGGCGAGATTCTAAAAAACATGTCACAAAGAGTCATGATCACGATTTAGAATTTGTCACAATTTTATGAGTTATTAATAAATATCTAAAGTTATCTTCTGCTTCGGAGAGGAGGAAATAAACAAAAGAAAGGAGAGGATTAAGAACGAAAACAATAAGACGGGAAAACAGTTTGTTATTTAATTTTTCTGTTTTAGTGTCAAACAAAAAAAGCAGATTTCGACCTCTATTTCCAGTATTTAATTGAAAGTTTATTTCAAATAACAACAATCAAAAAACAGTCACGATGCATAATCCGTGTGTCATTCATTTATTCGTTTGTCAAAATAAAACCAAGAATAAGAGAAAGAAAAAACAGCTATTTTCCTCATTATTTGTCTCCAAAACCAAAGTGAAAAAACAGATGATGATTCGTATTTTTCAGTTTTCGATTTTATGTTTAAATGAAAAATGGAAAAAAAAAAACGTTCACGTGACAAAAAACAGGTCTAAACCAAGACTAAACCGGTCTCAGTCCTGGTCTGGTCCCAGTCTGGTCCCGGTCTGTTCCAGGTCTCAGTCCTGATCACCCGACAGTCTACGCGGGTGCATCTCGACAGTCAGTCCTGTTTTAGTCCCAGTTCAGTCCCTGTTCAGTCCTGGTTCAGTCCTGGTGTAGTACCGGTTTAGTCCTGGTTTAGTCCTAGTTTAGTCCTGGTTGAGTTCTGGTTGAGTCCTGGTTCAGTCCTGGTTTAGTCCTGGTTCAGTCCCGGTTCAGTCCTAGTTTAGTCCCGGTTCAGTCCTGGTTCAGTCCTAGTTCAGTCCTAGTTCAGTCCCGGTTTAGTCCCGGTTCAGTCCCGGTTCAGTCCCGGTTTAGTCCTAGTTTAGTCCTGGTGTAGTCCTGGTTCAGTCCTGGCATAGTCCTGGCATAGTCCTGGTTTAGTCCGGCATCGCAGTTTAAGTCACAGAAACGGGAAACGGCTGTTATCATTTTTTTTATTCCCATTATTAATTTGAACACAAAATCAAAAACTAAAAAAGTAAATCGTTATCTGTTTTTCATTTTGGTTTTGGAGACAAATAATGAAGAAAATTGCTGTTTTTTTCGTTTTCTTATTTTCGGTTTTATTTTGAAAGACGAATGAGCGAACGACACACGGATTATGCACATTTCAATTTTTACATTTTATTCTCTCGCGGTACGACATTTTCACGATATGCATCTAACGGTACGATATTTATTACGATACTTTGTGGAGAGTTACTCAAACATGTGTGAGTGAAACAAAACACAACTCCAGACATGTTTTTGAGGCTTAAAGCTCATAAAAGTCCATCTCAGGATCTTTAAATAAAATGAGAATGGAAATAAGAACAGAAAAAAATGTCTCCAGACTTTAGATTTTTTTAGTGATTTGTTGGGTTTACCGGGTTTGATCTTGAGCACGACGGGCTTCCTCTCCTTGTCCCTCATCTGTCGGATGTCGAGGAGAGTGTGCGGGTTTCCGTTGTGCGGAGGCCAGTAATAAACGAAGACTCTGGAGCCGCTGCTGCCGCAGTCCACGACCACTCCGTAGTTCAGGGACGGATTCTCCACGTCGGTCACTTCCAGAGACTCGGCCACGGACAGATATCTGACAGAAAGAGGGAGAGAGAGAGGGAGAGAGGGAGGGGGAGAGGAGAGGGAGAAAGAGGAGAGAGGGAGAGAGAGAGAGAGAGAGGGGGAGAGAGAGAGAGAGGACGAAGGGGAGGGAGAGAGAAAGAGAGAGGGAGGGAGAGAAGAGGGAGAAAGAGGAGAGAGAGAGAGAGAGAGAGTGGGAGGGGAGAGAGAGAGAGAGAGAGGGAGAGGGAAAGAGAAAAAGAGAGGAGAGGGGGAGGAGAGAGAGGGAGAGAGAGGGAGGGGGAGAGGAGAGGGAGAAAGAGGAGAGAGAGAGAGAGAGAAGGAAGGGAGGGAGAGAGAAAGAGAGAGGGAGGGAGAGAGAAGAGGGAGAAAGAGGAGAGAGACAGAGAGGGAGAGAGAGGAGGAGGGAGAGAGAGAGAGAGAGAGGGAGGGGGAGGAGAGAGAGAGAGGGGAGAGGGAAAGAGAAAAAGAGAGGAGAGGGGGAGGAGAGAGAGGGAGAGGGGGAGAGAAGGAGATAGGGAGGGGGAGAGAAAGGGAGAGAGAAAAAGAGAGGGTGGAAGAGAGAGAGAGAGAAGGAGGGGCGAGAAAGAGAGGGAGAGAGGGGAAGAGAGAGAGGGAGAGGGGAGAGAAGGAGATAGGGAGGGGAAGAGAGAGAGCGAGGGGGGAGAGAGAGGGAGGGGGAGAGAGAGAGCGAGAGGGGGAGGGAAAAAGAGAGAGAGGAGAGAGAAGAGAGGGAGATAGAGAAAGGTGGAGAGAGGAAGAAAGAGGGCGAGAGGGAGAGAGAGAGAGAGAGAGAGAGAGAGAGAGAGAGAGGAGAGAGAGAGAGGGGGGAGAGGGAGAGAGGAGTGAGGGAGGGAGGAGAGAGGAAGGGAGGGAGGAGAAGAGAGAGAGAGGGAGAGCGAGGAGGGGAGAGGGAGGAGAGAGAGAGAGCGAGAGAGAGAGAGGGAGAGAGAGAGGGGGAGAGGAGGGAAAGAGAGAGAGAGAAGGTAGGACAGGAGAGAGAGAGAAAGGGAGTGAAAGTGAGTGGGAAAGAGAAATAAAATAGGGAGGGAAGAGAGAGGAGAGAGCAGAGGAGGGATGGGAGAGAGGGAGAAGAGGAGAGAATGAGAGAAGAGAAGAAGTGAGGGATGAAAGAGGGAGACGAGAAAAAAGCGAGGAGGGAAGAAAAGGAGTGAAAGTGTGTGGGAAAGAAAAATAAATAAAAGACAAGGAGGAAGAGAGAGGGAGGACAGGGGAAGGGAGAGAAAGGGAAAGAGGGAGGAGAGAGGGATGAAAGAGGGAGAGAGAGAAGGGGGCGGGGAGGAGGGAGAGAGGGAGCGAAAGTGAGTGGGAAAGAGAACGAAAAGAGGAAGAGGGGAGAGGAAGGGGGGAGAGAGGAGAGAGGGGATGGGAGAGCGAGGGGAGGAAGGTGAGAGGGACAGAGAGAGGGAGAGAGAGGAGGAGGGAGGGGAAAGAGGGAGAAGAGGAGAGAAAGAGAGAGGAGAGGGATGAAATTGAATTGAATTGAATTTCATTTTATTGTATTGGATTTTATTTTATAGTATTATTTATTTTAGTTTAGTTTTATATTTTTATTTATTTAATTTTTTTTTATTTCATTGTATTTATTTTATTTATTTATTTCATTTTGTTTCATTAATTTAATTTAGTTTAATTTAGTTTAGTTTAGTTTTCATATCATTTCATTTTTATTTTATATTTTATTTTTTATTATTTTTATTTCTTTTCTTTTAATTTAATTTAATTTTATTTTTATTTTATTTCATTTTATTGACCTGGAAGTGCAGCAAGTGAGTCTCTCCAAAAATCTGGTAAGAAAATGCTCCATAATTAATTTTAAAGCTGGTCAGGAAAAGTTTATTTCTGTCCTGTATAAATGTGACTCTTTTTTTCTTTCTTTTTTTTATTATTTGTCATTTTTGAGGGAATGGATTCCCAGCACATTAATAACAACGTAGACATAATAAAATATAAGACTAACACGCATACAAAGAGAGAAAAAAAAAAAAAAAAAGGTAGGGGGGTTGTGTGTTCTCAAATGAGAATCTAGTTTCCAACCGTAGTTTTATTATCGATTAGTGTCTGATTTTTCGATACTTTTGACAATCCCAGTGTTTATTACAGTACGTCTCTATCGCCCGTGCAGTTTATTCGGTGTTGTGTTCAAGGACACGTAAAGCAGCTGGGATAATTCTCATTCTGTGTGAGCTCTTATCAGTTCTGTTCATATTTTTAGCTGAAGTCGGTGTGTGTGGGCTCTGCATCAAACGTTACATAACAGCTCGGTGTATTTCACAGGACACAGTGTATTTCAAACCAAACAAGAGCCATGAAAACCACAACCAACGTTTTTGGCGTTTGGGTCATTCTGCGAAATCTGTGCCTTTTGTTTCTACAGAAGCCCTGAGAGGCAAGAGAAAAAAAAAAAAAAAAAAGAGGCAGGTCATTTGGGCTCAATTTTCTAAGTGTTTTTTTCCCCCACCAACTCAAAAAAAAAAAAAAATTAAAAATTAAAAAAAAAAAAAAAAAAAAAGATTGATGAAATGAAATGAATGAAAAAAATTTTAGAAAAAAAAATTGTCGAAAAAAATGTGTAGAATTTTTTTTTTTTTTTTGAGAATTTTTTATTTTTTTGAGTTGATGAAAAAAATAAACTTCCGTAGTTTCCCATTAACCAGTCTATGAAATACATTTTTAAAAGAGAAGAATTCCATAATATAGTTCAGATTGTTCTGTTCCGTGTTGTATGCAATAATTTTAAACCAGTTTAAACAATTAAAATAAAAGTAAACAACATTCATTTGTGTTTTTGGACATGTCCCTAAAGAGGATTAATCAGCAAGATGAAACGTGAAAATATTTGATAAAACTTGAAAGAAATCACTTTTTCTTACTGGTCTAAATATACATATATACATCTTCATTTCAAAAACGTCACCGCTGTCATTCTAAACCGTTGATTTTTAACAAGATAATCCCATTAAAAAGCGAATAAGTAAGTTTACGTGGGCCTTAACAAATTTGGGATATTTTAATAGAAGCCTGTTTCAAAAATCAAAGTTGAAAAGGCACAGACTTCGTGAAAAGACAAATAATAACCCTTACCCTGATAAATTTTCAATAAAAATGCACAAATGATTTTCCTGAATTCCTATTAACCCAATCACAAAATCCGCAGATTAACTCGAGACATTTTACGCGTTCATGGATCAAAATGTTGATAGAAATGCTTCTGTTAGGGCTGCGCACCTTTATTTCATGCATGTGAGCACTAGTGAGAGCCAGGAACAAGTTAAGGTTAAAGTTGTGTCATCAAAAGTGTCAAAAATCGAATGTAGATACTAATTTTTTGCAGGTACCGATACTAAAAAAGTCCCATTGACAGGACAGAGCAGAACCTTTTCTGAATGTTTTTAGAACAATCTTGAGCTGCATCAGAACAAGTATAAGAGCAGAGAGACTAGTACACACCCATGGACCTGGTTTAGACCTGGTTTAGACCTATTTTAGACCTATTTTAGACCTGGTTTAGGCCTATTTTAGACCTGGTTTAGGCCTATTTTAGACCTGGTTTAGACCTAGTTTAGCCCTGGTTTAGACCTATTTTAGATCTGGTTTAGACCTGGTTTAGGCCTATTTTAGATCTGGTTTAGACCTGGTTTAGACCTATTTTAGATCTGGTTTAGACCTGGTTTAGGCCTATTTTATGCCTATTTTATACCTGGTTTAGGCCTGGACCACTGAAGTATTACACAGCTATAAGGACAAATGAGAACAGAAAAGAAAATTCTACCATTAATGTGAAAAATCGAATTATATTGTCTAAAATATATAAATATATATATATATATATATATATATATATATATATATTTTTTTTTTAAATTATCATCATCATGGAACAGACATTGAGCATCGAGTCTGTATTGAAATTGAGTTTGACATTTTTGTTTATTACTCTATTATTATTTTACTGTGCAGTGCGCCTCACTTGTTTGGCTGAGCGTTGGCTCTTCTGGGGGGGCTCCACAGCAGCAGGAGCAGCAGAGTGGAGCAGAGCAGCAGCAGGAGCACCAGCCTCTGTCGGGGAACACAGCCCAGAGACAGCAGGGACACAGAGCAGTACCAGGAGGCCGGCACACACGACAGAGTGATCCTACAAACACACACAGAGGTCAGGGAGAAAGAACAGAACGTCTGTACTGTGAAAGTATACTACTACTACTACTACTACTACTACTACTACTACTACTACTACTACTACTACTACAGCGGAAAACGGCTCAAGAAACGGGCTTCGGAAGTTTGTTAACTCCATAAATGCAAAAGTGAATCAGATGTGTGTGACTCAAACCTCCGTTCAAACTGTTTCTCTTCCAAACGGAATTGAAACATAGTGAAAGGTGAAGGTGATGGGCAGGATTGGGAGGCTAAACCAGGACTAAACCAGGACTAAAACCAGGACTAAAACCAGGACTAAACTAGGACTAAACCAGGACTAAACCAGGACTAAAACCAAAACTAAATTAAGACTAAACTAGGACTAAACTAGAACTAAACTAGGACTAAAACCAGAACTAAACCAGGACTAAACTAGGACTAAAACCAGAACTAAACTAGGACTAAACTAGGACTAAACCAGGACTAAAACCAGGACTAAACTAGAACTAAACCAGGACGTAAATCAGACCTAAACTAGGAATAAACTAGGACTAAACCAGAACTAAACCAGGACTAAACTAGGACTAAACCAGGACTAAAACCAGAACTAAACTGGGACTAAACTAGGACTAAACCAGGACTAAAACCAGAACTAAATTAAACTAGGACTAAACTAGGACTAAAACCAGAACTAAACTGGGACTAAACTGGGACTAAACCAGGACTAAAACCAGAACTAAACTGGGACTAAACTGGGACTAAACTAGGACTAAACCAGGACTAACACCAGGACTAAACTAAAAAGCATGACAATATCAAGTAATCCAAAGTATTCAGATTACATTACTCACTTTAAGTAATTTAATGGATTACGTTACAAACTACATTTTGAGGTATGTAATCTGTAATCTGTAGGGGAATACATTTTAAAAGTCACCTTCCCAACACTGCCTATTATATTTTTGTCTTTACAAAATAGAAATTTGAAGTCTTTTGCCTTTGTAGGACAGAATAATGTAATGTAATGTGTAATAGTTTGTGTAATGTGTAATAGTTTGTATTACCTTGCCATAAGTCCTCTTCAGGTCCACACCGCACAGCCTGTCACCTCATTTTGTCCGTAAATTTAAATTATTCACATCCAGGAAAACTTTATCTCACTGTAAAAAAAAAAGAAAAAAGAAAAAGACAAACCACATTACACAGTTTTAGATAATAACATTACACCGGGATCATTAACGCTGCGGCTTATTTCACAACAGCTGCTAAAACCAATCTCACGCTTATCTCCCTGTTACATAAGATAATTCCGTTTACAAATGAAGTTTTAATTCAACACAACGATGTAAACACGTCGGGATAATGCTGTTTTGTGTATTTCATTGGTTAAACTCTGATTTCCTCGTAGATTTAAATGAAAGACGCTTTGGTACCACGTAGTTACAACAAGCCGGCTGCTCCCGTTATGTTTACACGCACAAACTCACAGAAAACACGCCTTTTCTTCGCCATCGCCGCTAAATCCGAGAGCGAAATAAACGCGTACTTCTGGGATAATCTAAAAAATATTGGTTTATCATGAAATCCTCGGAAAACAGAGCAGAAAGACGAAGGCGGCGGAGCGGAGATGGAAATGGGGCAGGACCATTACAGAAAATACTTCCGGTTTCTTTACGTACGTCCTATACGTCATCTTTACGTAGCTGCCGCGTCTCGTTAAAAAAATAAAATTAAAACTAAAATGAGAAAATAATTAAAAACCCTTCAGATTATTCAGATATTCCGTAGTTTAGATACATTTAAAGAGTAAATATGACGATTTTAAAACATCTATATTATATAATGTAGTTTCCTGAAGTTGTGCTTTATTTCATTCCATCCATTTTCTTTCGCTTTATCCCCGGCCAGGTCGCATCAGTCTAAGTAGGGACTCCCAGACTTTCATTTCCACACACACTTCCTTCAGCTCTTCTGGGGGGACCCGAGGTGTTCCCAGGCCAACCAAGAGACATAGTCCCTCCAGCGTGTCCTGGGTCTTCCCCGGGGCCTCCTCCCGGTGGGACATGCCCGGAACACCTACCGAGGGAGGCGTCCAGGAGGCATCCGGAACAGATGCCCGAGCCTCAACTGGCTCCTCTCCACGTGAAGGAGCAGCAGCTCTACTCCGAGCTCCTCCCATGTGACTGAGCTACTCACCCTGTCTCTAAGGGAGACGCCCAGACGCCCTGCGGAGGAAACTCATTTGTGCCGCTTGTATCTGTGATCTCGTCCTGTCGGTCATTACCCAGAGCTCATGACCAGAGGTGAGAGTAGGAACGAAGACTGACGGTAAATCGAGAGCTTCGCCTTTGGGCTCAGCTCCTCTTCATCACAACGGTTCGATACAGCGACCGCATCATTGCAGATGCTGCACCTGTCCACCTGTCAATCTCACGCTCCATCCTCCCCTCACTCGTGAACAAAACCCCGAGATACTTGAACTCCTCCACTTGAGGCAGGGACTCTCCACCCACCTGGAGAGGGCAAGACACCTTTTTCTGGTCGAGAACCATGGCCTCGGACTTGGAGGAGCTGATCTTCATCCCAGCTGCTTCACATTTAGCTGCAAACCGCCCCAGTGCTGCACGTCCTGGTTCGATGAAGACAACAGAACAACATCATCTGCAAACAGCAGAGATGAGATCCTGTGGTCCCCAAACCAGACCCCCTCCGGCCCCTGACTGCGCCTAGAAATTCTGTCCACAAATAAGATGAACAGAACCGGTGACAGGGGCGGCCCTGGCGGAGTCCAACATGCACCGGGAACAGGTCTGACTTACTGCGGCAATGAACACAGCTCCTGCTCCGGTCATACAGGGATCGGACCCCAGACTCCCAGAGCACCCCCCCCCCCCCCCCCACAGGACACCACGAGGGACACGGTCGAACGCCTTCTCCAGATCCACAAAGCACATGTGGACTGGTTTGGCAAACTCCCATGAACCTCGAGCAGCTGATGGAGAGTGTAGAGCTGGTCCAGTGTTCCACGACCAGGACCAAAACCACACTGCTCCTCCTCCTCTTTGTTTCATTCATACACGTTTAAAACACAAACACAACTGCATATTTCACAGAAAACACTCAGTTCCTCCTGACGTGGACACAGAAGCTCACACAGGACAATATATAACAATAACAAAGAGTAAAAAAATAAACTTCTAATAAATAAGTAGCAGTAACAGAAAACAGCAAGAGGCTAGTATCAGTAAGTCCTTTTTACAGCCTCCCTGAACCTGTTTCTCTCGTCAGTGCACCAGCAGATATTAGATTGTTGTTTTTTCGTTTTCTTATTTTTGGTTTTATTTTGAAAAACGAATGAACGAATGACACACGGATAATTTTTTATGTCCAAATTCTGTTCTTATAATCAGGTTTTGTTTGTAAACCAGGTCTAAACCAGGTCTAAACCAGGTCTAAACCAGGACTAAACCAGGATTTAACAGGACTAAACCATTCTGTGTGGACATGTCTCCTCCTCTTCTATCAATAATATTTTTAATTTGGTTCAGTAAAGTTTGGACTTTTTATTTTCTTTTATCAGACAAAACTTCTTATGTGAAGATTTCCTCGTCTTTGTTTCTCTACAGCAAATCAAGTAATCCAAAGTATTCAGATTACATTACTCACTTTAAGTAATTTAATGGATTATGTTACAAAATACATTTTGGGGTGTGTAATCTGTAATCTGTAGGGGATTACATTTTAAAAGTCACCTTCCCAACACTGAGTAAGGAACATCTGAAAAACTGGTTATTGCACTTTGAATCACAAAATTCAACCCCTTCAATGCACAGTCGTCTGAGTCCAGGAGAATTACTCGAGTACAACATCTCCTGCCTCACTGTTCTTATGATCAGGTTGTTACTCGGTTGTGAGAGTGTCCCGGCTGCAGGGGGCACTCGCGCTTTAAACCCCCTCCCTCTAAACCCATTCAGTTCCGGGTTTTGCGTCTCTGTGCACAAACAGCGAAAAGCAGCGAGTGTGCGCCAGGAAAAAAAAAAAAAAAAACACTCCCCAAATCCACGATGATGTCCGTGAAAAGCCACGCGCCCAAGGACCTGGTGGTGGAGCGTCTCGTCGTCGCCGCGGATGAGATTTTTGCGCTGTTTGAACGCGCGTTTGCGGAATATGAAGAGGAGGTTCTGCGGTCCAGATTTCTGCAGCAACCTCGAGATGTTTTTCACAAAGAAGGTAAAAAAAATAAATAAAAAGGACTGGATCGTTAACCCAAAGACGCACGAGCTCAATAACGATCTCGTGTTATGTTTTTTTTAAATTAAATTAAAGTGCAGATATTGTGAAGAGAAGTAGGTGCGTGCAGCGTGGGCCTAGAACACCCAGGCCTGTTGTAGTTTTACTGTTTTTTTAGTATTTTATCATCTTAATTCTACCGTAAAATCATCAAATTTAGTCATTATTCTAGCTGTCAAATAAAAATAGAGTAACCACAGGCCCGCAAAACCCTGCATTTTTGACTGAGTTTTTTTCAGTGACGTCACTACGGGGGGGGTGGAGGGACGGGTGGGGATGAGATGAGATGAGATGAGGGGGCGAGTTGCAGTTACCATGGCGACACGAAAACAGACAACTTCTAAAAGGTGCACTGTGTCGCTTTTCCCGGTGGAGGTTGCCGTCTTCTGCGTGTTTCTGCCTGGAATGTTCCACAGTGTGACATTAACCGGTGATAATTTATATTTATTTAATTACAGGTGGTTTTACGGCTCAGAAATATCAAGAAAAACAGGCATCTGGACTGTGAGCGGCGTCGCCTCCAGTGTTGGGAAGGTGACTTTTAAAATGTAATCCCCTACAGATTACAGATTACATATCCCAAAATGTAGTTTGTAACGTAATCCATTAAATTACTTAAAGTGAGTAACGTAATCTGAATACTTTGGATTACTTGATATTGTCGTGCTTTTGAAAACAACATGAATGTAACAACCACATCCTGAAAATTCTTGTTTGTTCTCTTCAAATTGTCTGTTGAGCCCAAGTCTCCATGAACAGACTGTTTACTGCAGAGAAGTAAAGACCAGGAAATCTGAACATGAGATATTTAGTTTTATCTGCTAAAAGAAAATAAAAAGCCCAGTCTTTACTTAAGCATATTAAAAATATTATTGATAGAGAAGTGATTTCTATATGAAATCACTGCTGCCTTTAATTATGTCCACCTACAGTTTGGTGTCATATTGTCTAAACCAGGTTTAGTCCTGCGTTTAGACCTGGGTTTAGTCCTGGGTTTAGTCTTGGTTTAGTTTCTGGTTTGGTTTAGTCCTGGTTTAGTCTGGTTTAGTCCTGGTTTAGTCCTTTAGTCCTGGTTTAGGCCTGGGTTTAGTCCTGGTTTAGTCCTGGTTTAGTCCTGGTTTAGTCCTGGTTTTAGTCCTTTTAGTCCTGTTTCCTGGTTTAGTCCTGGTTTAGTCCTGGGTTTAGTCCTGGTTTAGTCCTGGTTTAGGCCTGGTTTAGGCCTGGGTTTAGTCCTGGTTTAGTCCTGGTTTAGTCCTGGTTTAGTCCTGGTTTTAGGCCTGGTTTAGTCCTGGGTTTAGTCCTGGTTTAGTCCTGGTTTAGTCCTGGTTTAGTCCTGGTTTAGGCCTGGTTTAGTCCTGGTTTAGTCCTGGTTTAGTCCTGGTTTTAGTCCTGATTTAGTCCTGGTTTAGTCCTGGTTTAGTCCTGGTTTAGTCCTGGTTTAGTCCTGGTTTAGTCCTGGTTTAGTCCTGGTTTTAGTCCTGGTTTAGTCCTGGTTTAGTCCTGGTTTAGGCCTGGGTTTAGTCCTGGGTTTAGTCCTGGTTTAGTCCTGGTTTAGTCCTGGGTTTAGTCCTGGTTTAGTCCTGGGTTTAGTCCTGGTTTTAGTCCTGGTTTAGTCCTGGTTTAGTCCTGGTTTAGTCCTGGTTTAGGCCTGGGTTTAGTCCTGGGTTTAGGCCTGGTTTAGTCCTGGTTTAGTCCTGGGTTTAGTCCTGTTTTAGTCCTTTAGGCCTGGTTTATTCCTGGTTTAGTCCTGGTTTAGTCCTGGTTTAGTCCTGGTTTTAGTCCTGGTTTAGTCCTGGTTTAGCCTGGTTTAGGCCTGGTTTAGTCCTGGTTTTAGTCCTGGTTTAGTCCTGGTTTAGTCCTGGTTTAGTCCTGGTTTAGTCCTGGTTTAGTCCTGGTTTATTCCTGGTTTTAGTCCTGGTTTAGTCCTGGTTTAGTCCTGGTTTAGGCCTGGGTTTAGTCCTGGTTTAGTCCTGGTTTAGTCCTGGTTTAGGCCTGGTTTAGGCCTGGGTTTAGTCCTGGTTTAGTCCTGGGTTTAGTCCTGGTTTTAGTCCTGATTTAGTCCTGGTTTATTCCTGGTTTTATTCCTGGTTTAGTCCTGGTTTAGTCCTGGTTTAGTCCTGGTTTAGTCCTGGTTTAGTCCTGGCTTAGGCCTGGGTTTAGGCCTGGGTTTAGGCCTGGTTTAAGGCCTGGTTTAGTCCTGGTTTTAGTCCTGGTTTTAGTCCTGGTTTTAGTCCTGGTTTAGTCCTGGTTTAGGCCTGGGTTTAGGCCTGGGTTTAGTCCTGGGTTTAGTCCTGGTTTAGTCCTGGGTTTAGTCCTGGTTTAGTCCTGGTTTAGTCCTGGTTTAGTCCTGGTTTTAGTCCTGGTTTAGCCCAAAATGTGAAAACAGGAAAATACCGCCGTGTAATCCATTTATTTCAACAAAGTAACTGTAATCCAATTACCACTCACTGAAACAGTAACTGTAACTGAATACAGTTACTCATAAATTGTACTCTGATTACATAATCCCAGTTACATGTAATCCGTTACTCCCCAACACTGGTCGCCTCTCCACAGATCTGAGCTTTACTCTCCACAGTGTGAAAAATGACGTCAAAGTTTCTGTTTTGTCCAGACAAAAGTAGAACAGGCAGGGCTCCCAAAATTTGACAACTAGTGGCTGTAATGAAGAAATATTTGTATGCAAAAAAAAAAAAACTAATCTCAAAATGGATCCTTATTTGTCAGTTCCTGTTCTCTGCGTTTGTATCGTGAAACAAAAATACAGAGTCGTGCAAAGGCAAAAGGCAGAAACTGACATTATTATTATTATTATTTGCTTGATTTTGCCCAGACTTTCATCCATTATAAGAAAAAAACACCTCACCGAGCTCCAGTCGTCATGGAGTTTGTTTGAAATGACGACACACACGACAATAGGGCTGAGTATCATTAAGAAGATGCCGATACGATACATACCTCGACACAGTGAACTTACGATTCGATACGATATATTTCAAATTGATTCGATACCGTTCAATAAAAATAAAGGCTAAATCGTGGCTGTGATACTAAAAGTCTTTGTTAAACCACTTCTTCTTGTGCAAAGTGAATGTGAAACACAAACATTTTAATCCTCAAAACAGTGAAAATGTCAAATGTGTCGCATGCACTGCAAAAAATTTAATCTACCGTAACCAAGTTGAGATGACTTGAATTAAGAAAGTTTTATCATGATTTGAGTAATTTCCACTTGACAAGTTAAATTATCTATCAGCGGAATATGATTTTTTGTTCTTAAAATATGAAAATACAACTTGCTACACTTAAAAAAAGAAAAACAACAACCCTTAAAATAAGAAATGAAATTGAATGTCGCTTGAATTTAGAAAAAAAACACTTACTCCACTGGTAGAGTCGACTCAGATAAAGTCAAATGTTCTTAATTTTCATTTTAACGAACCTTTTTGCTGTGTGAATGAGTTTCCTTCCACTAAACAAACAACAAAACTGTAGCGATGTAACAAAATAATTTAGTAAAATACACAAAAAATACTCAATACGCGATATATCGATACAGCAGCCCATGATATCGATACTGTATCATTACATTAAACGATACGATATATTGATATTTCAATATTTTTGCACACCCCTACACAACAACGCTCCTGGATTTATTTATTTTTTTTGCAGGCTGAAAAAAATTTGCGTCCACACACGTGTCGGATCCAGAAACATTCACGTCCAGACGACAATGTAATGAACGGTGTAATACATCTGCCACACCTGTATGTGGCGCTGTAAGCAATGACAATAATATTTAATAATGCAAATCTCATCAATGTTTTTTTTAACTTTAAGGTATTTAGCTGATTTTAGATGTATCACTCAAATATAGCTGTTTTGTGTTATAAAAGTTAAACATAATCGTTTTTAGCCGTAAGATTTGGATGAAAATTATTAGACTAACTTGGTCTCAAAATCCGACTCTTTGTTATTGATCCACTGGCAGCGTGTCTCGGTTGTTGGGCGACGGGAGCGGCTCTGTAGGTTACACCTGTCACATTTCAGCATCGCTCTTGTGGTCCGCGGAGGCCAGTTCGAGGTTCGAGGGCTGCAGGCTTCGTTGCATCGGAGGATCCTGGCGATGACGGGATCTTGATGTCGTCGTTTTCCAAAAGCTGTGGTTTGCTCGTCCACACGACAACGTGACGCCGGTGTTCTCAGATTTCTCCACTCTGGAACCTGTTCTCAAAAAACACAGTCCACACAAAACGCCGGCTCCGTGTGGACGAAAGGCCAAAAGGAACACAAACTTCTCTGTTTTGAACAAAAACCATCGTCGTGTGGACGGATGCTTACACAGTAAAACAGTTTGATACACAAATTATTTTGCAGTATAGTGTGTACAGCAGTGATGGAGTTGGCAGTTTGGGGCCCTAGGTGAACCTGAGTCTAGGATCCTCACTATAATGCACTGTTTTTCAGATTTATTTATTTTTTTAATATTTATTGTCTGTTTTTCTCTATTGTTCTTGAGACATGCACGTCTCTATTTAATTATTGTGGACTGGAAACTTGTCTTAGTAGTTTGGTTGTCGACTAGAAAACCAGAACTGAAAGTAGTTTTATTTTTTTGCTAGTACAATTATGTTTTTGTTTCATCCATTACATATGATTATTATTTTACTTATGATTATAGTTTAAAACTAAACTGCTCTCATTTAATGTCATATTGAGAGAAAATCAAATCGCTCTGAGGCCTCGGTCATTAGTGGCACTGAGGGAAATTGTTTGGGGGCCCCTCCAGGTTTGGGGGCCCTAAGCAGCCGCCTACTTTTGCCTAATGGTAGCGCCGCCTCTGGTGTACAGTAGGGGTGTAACGATATCCAAATCTCACGATACGATATCGTCACAGTATGAACCTCACGCTACGATATTTATTGTGATATCTTGGGAAAGCTGACGATACGGTGGGGAGGCTCATGATTAGGGATGTAACAATATCCAAATCTCGATATTTTCATGATAAACACCTCATGGATATTTATTGGGATATTTTAACTGTTAATACGCTTCTTTTTCCTCATAAAACGCCTCGACAAGACTTAATCCAAAGAACTAAGACTTAAAAGTGTTAGAACTGTTATTTCTTCTTGTCATCTGCACTGAAATGGAGCAAAGGATCATGGTCTATGTAGTTCCCTCTGTCTTTTTTTAGCTACTGCTGCAACATAACTCTTCACTTATAATTCGATATATTGTGATGGTCCACGATATTATTGTGAGAACTTTGACGATACGATATCAC